GCCAAAACCATAGCAAGGTCCACTATGTTCTCCACATTCTGCCTACACAGCGATGACTACTTGTGCAGATTCTGTCAAAGCTGTTAACATGCTGGGTTGTTACTTAAAACTCAGAGTGTGCGTGTTCACGAGCTGCAAGTTGGCTGTCTGACCTGTGCTTCTATCTGAGAACACGCTGTCGGATGTGGCGTTACTTTCGCAAAAAGCTGGGCAAAGGAAGTCAGGGACGCTTCTGCGGCTCTTTTTCTTTTCTTGCTTTGTGGATGATAGCCTTCTAGGGTTTCATTCGCTTGGTCAAGATTGAGAAATGTCTTTCGCACAACTACAAGCGACGGCAAACATATCTAAAAGAGAGCCACCCACTTTGTATAGACAAAGCTCATTGTGAATATCCTTAGATATCACCTTGCAGCCCTGCACATAATCGCGCTTTTGTGGCAGGCTGTTTTTTTCCTCTCTGTTTCTCTCACTCCCTTTGCCTCTGTCCCTGTCTCACTCCCTCTCTGTCTCTTTTTCTCACTTCATCGCTATTAATATCGTCCCACCACAGCAGCACCCTGCTGCCGCAGACGCTGCAGCAAGCAACTTCTCCGCTTAAAGGCATCTCACACCGACGAGCAGCTGTGTTCAACTTCGATCTCTGCCGAACAACTCGAAAACCGCTGCCGGCAAGCCCATACCCTTGCAAATGTCGAACACACGGACGCACAGAGGACCTAGAGGCGACGAAAGTCGAGCTTGCCGAGGTGGACCGTGCCTTTGAATCGCCAGATCTGTGGGGTCTTTGGTGACTGGTCTTTCAGCATCGACATGCAGAGCGGTATCAACTGACGATCATCCTGCCGCGCAAAACCTGACAAAGCCGGCGGTCCAAGGGGAACAGAAGCCGCATTCAATGAAATGCAGTTTCCCTCGCTGTCAGCCTTCTCTGGAGGTGGTCATCGACAAAGAGGGTAGCCAAATGGAACTCCGATCCGAAGTCGAAGCGCTGAAGCAGCTGCCGCTTGGAAGTGCTCTTGATTTCCAAAGGCAACCCAAGAGCCGAAGAGCCCAGGTCTTTAAGTCTCCCACCCAGGATCGGAGTGCAAAGCCAGAGCGAGCTGCTCAAGCAGCTGCAGGAGTCCTCGCTTGCTGCGCAGATTCATCGTGAAGTGGCACCGGGGCCGTGATTGAAAGCTCAGTCTGCCAGGATTCCCAGTTAGAGGCCGTGGACAAGAAAATTTCCGAGGCTTCTCGAAAAGTGTGGAAGGTTGAAGAGTGAATCTCTTTGGACCCAGACACTCGGCATCGGTTCATAGGCTGTGGGCTGCCTGGAGAGGCCGTGGAGAAGGAAGCTTCTTCTCTTCGCCAGCTTCTGGAGTCCAGAGCTCTGCTCGCAGAGGAGAAATCCTCACAGACACCTGGCGAAACGCTGGGCTAGTAGTGGCTTAGTGGATTCCAGCCATGGGTCTTATGTAAACCAGGGACGGGGATTAAGATGCGCACAGAGTGCCGTTTGGACTGCCAGGGTTTGGTGGCCCTTTGTCACCCAATCTGGGCTGTAAGAAACCGTGCTGCCGAGTTTTGGTGGATCTGTCCGGCCCGTTATGGCAAGCCTAATTCCTCGGCTTTTGCAGCATGTGCCGCAACAGATCGCACTACCTGGCTCTTTCTGACGTAAACTGGGCCTCAACTAAGTGTGCTGTCGGGCGGGTTTCAATGGGTTTCACAATTACAGCCGCGAAAGCTCAGCCGCACGGAAAACCTTGCAAAAACGAGGTCGGCAGGCAGAAGCTTCGGTAGGCCGAGATGATGGCTGCAACCGTAGCGTCTAACTTGAAACCCTTACCGGTACCGTCAGGAAAGCTGAGACCATACGTGAGAGCGTCGAGAAGAAGCTCGAGGAAGGAGCCTCGGAAGCAAGAGGAAGGCGTTGCTCACAAGAGCTGTCAGCTCTCGAAGCCAAGGCCTCCTTGAGAAGGTGAACATGGACTTGATCTCCAAAATGGATGCCGTCATGGATCACCTCTCACAAACACAGGCCGATGTCAGCTGTACAGAGAACTCCGGTTCCGAGCTTCTGATGCCAGGTTGAGATGGAGACGCAGCAGAAGGGGATCATTGAGAGAGTCGAGGGTTATCGTCGAAGCCCGGCCGAAGACGCCATTTTCCCACAAGCCTTCTATTTCGCCAGAGGACTGAGGATTGGCAGGATAGGGCAGGTGCCAAATGCCGCTGGACTTCGATGCTGCGCAGTGTGGGTCTGCCCGGCCGTCATGTACTCTCGCAGGAAGTTTTGACTCAACTGTGTCCTACTGGCGTTATACTATTTCTGTGGCATGCATAGCCTGGTAAGCGTCTTAGCTTGGGGATTGAGCTGATCCACATCCACGTGCATAGGGGCTTTGCCGATCGTCTGGGAGCTTGACTGTCTACAGTGCTGCAAGATGTTGCTCATGTGAGGGCAGCCACGAAGCTGACGGTTCTGGCTCTGGTCAGGTGTTTTGTGCTCACGTTCCTTTCCTTGTTCATCCAGGTTCCCATAGTGTGCATTCGCAGAATACCAAGGAAATCTGGATGAGACCAGTGACCTCTCCCGGCGCATCTCCTCCTTGCATGAGCCACCCGTCTGGATCTCTACTTTTCCCAAGCAGCTGCCACAATTCAGTTAGTAGTTCTGAGATGTCGGTGCAGTCGAAACAGCTTTACTCCAAACCGCTCGCCCCATCGCAACCCTTCTGCACCTGTGCCTGTTCATCTAAACTGGATCGCAAACTAGGATGAATTCACATATCTGCCGTGAAGGTTGCTTGAGCCTCGTGTGACCGTCATGGAGGCTGGGCAGGGCAGCATAGCGACGTACAATCCCATCCATAGGCCAAGCAGCACCGAAGCTGAGGAGTACATACTGTGATGCGCACACGCAAAGGGTTGCTTCACGGAGTTTGCTCTCAGCATATAAGAAGTTGACTTCCAGCTCGTCTTACAGCTCCCTATCCTTGTAGAGTTACCTATGTCTGCCCATGAGCCTGCATGAACTGCATCCAGCAAGCACATGCTGCAAGCAAGAACCAACGTCCCAGCTGACAGCAGGAATGGCGAGAAACTGCGGACAGTGCCATCCACCAGATTCAGAGCGAGATGAAGGACTCTGTCAAGGACGACAAGTCGTCATCCCTGGGAAGATTTGGCTGTGCTCGTTGATGTCTCAGGAGATTCGGACCCCAAATCCGACACAGCCGACCACACCGAACTCTGTCAAGGCCCAGGTCAGTGCCTCAGCCTCAGCCTTCCCCATCTCCAAGAGCATCCGAATGAAGGCCTCCGGTGCTAATTACCCGGTGCATGTGACTCTGCAGGTGCACTCCAGTGACGCTGAGGGCAGTCGCCATGCTAGTGCCAGCAGTTTGGCAGCATTAGATTTGGCGTTCAATCACCCTCGCGCCCTTTGCGAGTGCATGAACCTCACCTTGTCAAGTGCAGAGTCGGCGTTCTCGAAGGCATGTGCAGGCGCTTCGCTCGAAAACAAGAGATGAGCTTGCACAGTCTGTCCAGGCAATGGCGCCGCCGAGCTCCGCGTCGAAAGCACGTCGCTAGGGCCTCTTGGCGACAGAGACGGTTTCTGTTTGCAGAAAGCAGGAGGGCTTGGCCTTTTTGCAAGCTTCGCTTGGAAAAGGCCGGCTGGCCCTGGCTGTGGCTCGATCCCATCGAAGACTCTGATGGCTCCTGTCCCGGCGCCACCGAAGGCCGGGCAGGAAGACGGCACGCTTCTGCCTTGGCGTTACGCCGGAGCAGGAAAACCGTGGTTTGTTTCCGAAACTCATGCAATTCGTCGAGCAGGCATGGACATCAACCTCGGATGGCCACTTGGCTGACGAAATTACTGTGTCTGAGGTCAGTGTTGGTGCCAGCCAGCCTTCCGTGCGACACTGGATTCGACGGCGCTGCATGTCCCACACGCGCGTGAATCTGACGATCAACTTGACGTTTTTGTGGTACCATGCATGTTGGTATTTATGTGCTGTTGCACCCGAAGAAATCTAAGACTTGCAGGAGCAAGAGCAAGCAGCCATCACGTTGGAACGCGTTCGAAAACCCCTTGTTACAAATCCACCACAAGCAAGGATCCAGAGTAAGAGGTACATGTAGGCGCGAGGCTTCCTCATCAGCTGTGTCCAACTTGAACACTAGGGAACCAGGGGCTGTTAAGGGAAAGTCGCGTTTCTGATAAGTTCGTGTTCGTTTAAGGATGGTGTTCCTGCTAGGATGGCGCTATACGCAGTCTGCCGCGGCTCCCCCGAAAGTTTGGACTTTCGGCTGGCATCCGGAGTGTCAAAGGCCTGTGTTCGTAGAGCTTTTGAATCGAGTCGACTCTGGACATCCTGGTTGCTCTACATCAAGCCAAGGACCCTCAGCGCACCCACCGTTCGGTTGCCGCTCTTCAGTGGGGGAAATTCGGCCCCTTTGCCGAAGCACTGATGCAGTTCCCTGGCTTGCACGCAGACTTTTCATCTCCTGTTCCTTTGGTCCCTCTTTAGTGCTGGCAGTGTCTGGTGCAAGCTAGGCAGCACAGAGTTGACTGGCGCAGGGACAGGGACAGAGGTCAAGCGTATTGAGAGCCATTCGGCATTTTCTTGGTGCATCAACATAGTTTGATGCAGCACCAGGCTTACACTTATACGAAGTCTTCATAATGTTCCCTTCACATACATCGGGGCGTCGAGTAATCATTGCATGGTGGCTTTGCTGGCAAAAGCTAGCGAAGAAGCCATGCTCTGACTTGTTGTTCTGAGGTGCAGAAGTGAGCAAATGTACCTTCCAGAGACAAGAGGTCTCTACTCCGACCTGCCAACAGCAGTACCAGTGAATGAAAAGGGAAATTGGCCGGGTGCAAGTAGAGGTTGCAGGGTCTTCATCACGTGAGAAAACGAGCATCAAGCTGCGAGTATCAGAAGTACTCTCATTGATCAGAGAGAATCTTGAGTTGATTTGATGCTTTATCTCCGGCTCGTGTCCGGAAGGTGTACGCTCTGCCCAGCCTGGGTCCCCTCGGATTCGCGACCAGCTCAGCGAGAGCTCTGGGTCCGTCACTTGAAGCCTTGCTGGTTCTTTTGCGGCACTGACTGAGAGTTGTGTCGTTAGGCGGCTGGCCTGGCACCAGGAACCCGTGCTTGGGGAGGGGCAAAGGCTGACTTGGGCTCGATCTCTTCGGTTCTGTCCCGAACCCGTGGCAAAGTGTGATCATGAGAAGCGTCATCAGATGCGGTGAGGTGTCGAAGGAGACAAAGCCTGGGGCTTCCCGCTCCCCAGAACTGCAACACTTCCAACACAATAGAAGCCGGTTTCATTGCCCGCGACCCAAAAGCAGCCGACCGAGAAAGAAACAGACAGGGGGCATGGCGGAGGAGAGGTACTGTGAACGAGGGGGGTACTGTTAACCGACCGGCAAAGAACGGACTAGGGACGCGCCGGTGCTGAGCGCTGACACCTAGCCCCAGCCTTCAACGCCCTACCCCATCTACGGTGAAAATGGACATCACACCGGGTTCGAGCTTGAACAGTGTGACGTGTGACCTCAAGGAGTGAGCTGTGCATCCCAGAATGGTACCCCTTTCAATCCGAGCATGTTCCTTCGAGGGCGTGCAGCGACCTCGTACAGTTTCGGGGGTGAGACATTCCAAGTACTGTATTGAAGGGCACAAGAGGACATCGATACGTAGCCTGGCCGAAGAACTATGTGCCAAGGCCAAGGTGGGAATGGGAACCCGAGCAAGTAGAACAACAGTTGATCTCTGACGCTTCTCTGCCAGTTTATGGATCAAGTCGAGTGACTTTCTTCTCATACACGCTTCTCAAGCTATGGGATGCACATCCAGCTCTACCGTGGACCCAGTCCTGGCTGCTCGAGGGACGATGACGTCATCAAAGGTGCTTCCTTTGCCGCGAGCTGTTCAGGCACCGGACTTTGGAACGCATGAACTCTATGCGACTTTGCTTTGCAGTCAGATCCGAACCAGCTGCCTACTCGGACAGTAGTCGTTGTTCAGAGTAGTTCATCGTGCGCAGAGCAAAGGTCAAGAAGCTGAACGAGTACCTCGAGGACGTTGAGTGTCACCCAAGAGAGTTCCAGACTGTGGTAGCGGCAAGACGCGCGTCCTTCGCCCACTGGACGGCAGCGGTGCCATGAGAGGCCAGAAGATGAGCACTCGTAGATTCGTAAAGTCGGACCCTGCCAAATTTCAACCGACTAGAGGTTTCAAGTCTCACCGAGTTTAAGAACGGCCTGTCGGTTCAGCCGAAGCTCGGCAACCCTACTCGATACTCGACGTCACCCTTTTTGTCCCGATGTCGCACGAGCTTTGATTGACAGCCCACCTGTTGCATGACTTAGCAACAGCTTTCAAGGCGTTGCATGGGAGGATCCTCAGCGGGGTTTAGACGAGTCGAGGTCCGCAGGAGTTGCCCAAGGCAAAAGACTTGGAAGGAAGGCCATGCAACGAGCTACGTGGTTTTGCAGTCGAGAAGCACTTGCTAGGGCAAGCGACAAAGACGGTTGACGACGCAGGTTCGGCCTTCTCGAGTGGGGTTGCGTAAATCAGTGACATCAGCCATGTTTAGCGGGCACGTCCGGGCCGCACACGGGCCCAGCCGCGTGGGGCAAGCGCATGTCACACAAAAGGGTAGATGCTGCAGCTGCCTATCTTCCCATGCCTTTTTTTGGATTACTTTATAGCTGGCCTGGCCCGGCATTGAATCCAGTCGAGAGTCTCTAGCCAAATTGCAGGATCCCACAAGGCGCCACATCATAAGGTACATGGCGGAGCAGCACTACTTTTCCTGCTAACTAGCCCGAGGTGTGGCTAGCATGTACCAGCTATGTCAGACAAGTGGATGCCTTGTGGAGACCGCCTGCTGTACGGGCCCGACCTTCCTGGAGTGTCAGAGGAGCCGCAACCACTGCGGCTTTTCAGGGAACGGCATTCACATTGTCCGGGACAGAATCCAAGTTTACTCGGATTCAGTCACCGGAGTATTCTATCCTTTCCCGTTTAAAAGTCTGATGCATGATGCTGCTGAGCAGCTGGTCGGAACTGGTCCCTCAGTATGGCTCGGAGATGCATATGGCAACGCGAACCTTTGCAGGCTGCTACCGAGTGCTTTCACAGATGACCCTTGCCCTAACCGAGCATCTCAGGGTCGCTGAGGAATCTGAGCAGTCGGGCGCCACCACGGAAGGAGCCTTTCTCCCCAGCCAGGTGAAGTGCCGGCTTTTACCGAAGACTGTTATGTGATATAGAGGGGTCTTCACTTTTAAACAGTGGAGAGACTATTTCAAGTGTGCCGAGACAGATTCTGAAAGCTTCGGCTTCTGGAGAAGAAGCCGAGGCTCGGAGTCGGAGATCCGTGCTCGCACCGTTGCGAGTCTCTCCTATTTCAACAGTATTCTTACTGTATCTGATGCTGCTTATACGAGGCTCTGGCATTCTGTGATGGCCAGCTCGCTTCTGAAGAAGTTGCAGCGGTAAACTAACAGAGTGCTACTATGTATAACACCCAGAATAAAGCTAATGCAAGTATGAAAAAACAAGCACGACTCACAATCATAATCATAAAAATAGTAAAAATGACATTGATGACAATAGTGAATAACGGTAGCAACTATGACAGCTCTCAACAGAACATGGCAGACTTTGCTAGTATGTGGCTTGCGCGCAGGTGAAGCAAAGGCAGTAAAAGGTACCGCAATTCTTAAACGAGTTTCCTCGATGTCCGATTCTCCAAGTACTCCTCCTCCACGGCAGGGGCCATTTCGGAAGAAAGGGTCAAGAGCGCAGATTCAAGGCACAGAAAGCCACAACCTCCTCGACGCAGATGTATATTCTTCTCTGATTCGAAGTTTCTGTTTTGGCATGAGTCTCGCAGCTTGGCATTTTCGACAGAGTGTGTGCTCAGATGCGAAAATGTGGGTGATTGCCTCGACGGGGGAGCTTTCATGCAAGGGTGATGAGGCTGTCGAGGTGGACTCAATGCATGCTTCGAAGACTCTGGGCGAGGAAATGGCCCACACATGCCGGGCTGCTGCTGCCGTGCAGTTTCACTTGTTGTCTCTTAATGCATGGGTTTGACTGGGAAATACAGGTCTCGGGCATTCCAGGCTTGCCTGCTTGCAGACTGCCACTTCCCGCTGAGCTGTTGAACTTCACTCCGACGAACCAGTTGACAAACGAAGCACGAAAACTCTTCTGCTTGTAAGAATCAGCTTCGCATCCTGCTGAACGCATTCGCGCGGCTCGCCATATTTCCTGCCGGGCATGTGCGTGGTATGTCCCCGAGCTCCAGGATCAGCAGATCAAGATCTCCGTGAAGAGGTGGCAGCAGCTGAAACATCCTTACCGAGCGCAGTCATCACGCCGGTGCCTCTTGAGCCATAACGGCCATAACGCAGGTGTGCAGCCATGGCAGGATTCCCCACACACTTTTCCGAATCTTCAGCTGTTCTTCATTGTGAATCCTCCGAGAGTCGCGTAATTCCGAAGACAAATCTTAATCTAGGAGCACAAGTTTCGAGACAGGTGGACCGATTCAGAAAACCAGCCAGTCAAAACGGAAAGGGCCGATTCAGAAGATTTAGGATTCAGGGTTTGAGGTTTACGTGGCTTTACGGGCTTTGGGCAGAAAGTTCAAGCATGTACTTACAGGAGGGTTAAACGCTTATGGCTTCTGTACGAATGCTTTAAGGTATCGGATTTTTCTACTCTTTTTGGGTTTAGGGTTGAGGTTAAGCCCGGGCGCCTTGTTTATGTTTTCTGGGCTGTCTTCTGAGCTTCAGGCGAAGTCCTGCCAGAGCTTTTCTGAATTTATCTTTCGTGTGTTTCGAATTTGTTTATCTTGAATTGGGGCATTTCTCCGAATTGGTCCGACTTGTTTTACCCATTTGTCCGCTGCCCAGCAATTTGCAGTCGAAAGGCTGTGCATGACCGACTGGATTGAGACTCAAGCCGAGCCCAGTTGTTCAAACACTTCGCGAATCCACAGCATCTGAAAAGAACTGCGTCCAGCACACTGCCACGAACGTTCCACCCTTGGACAGGGCAGCTTGAACCTTTTCGTTGAGACGCACTATCAGTCACAGTTGAACAGCGAACAGGGGCGCATTGCTCAACGTATCCTTCACTTATTATGACGCTTCTGTCCAGCCCTTCGACCTCCTGACAAGTTACATTTCTAAACGGTGAGCAATCGCAAACCCACAAGGAGCAAGGTTTGCAAAAACTTGAGCGACAGTGCGTCACTTGGCCACCTCAAAGCATGCTTGGCCTACTTGGCTCAACAGCATGATCAGTCAGGCCACATGAACTGACATACGCTGCAAAGTAGCTGGTGATGTCAACGATTGCTAGATGTGGTTGGCGAAACTCCAGAAGTCTTGCATCGTAAAAGCTTCTTCGTCAAGCCTTCCTGGGAGCATCGTTGACCGGGACACAATGGCAGGCCGGCGCCCGAATAACGATGTACCCTTGTGATCTTTATTTTCATACTCAAAAGGCGATGTATGGCTCCAGGTTCCATGGCTGACGTGGCATTCTTGACACCGGAGCAGCCACCACGGTGCCTTGATCGCTTTGGTCAGGGAATAAGGGGAAGTCAAGCAGGCATTCCTAAGCTCCAGGATGCATATGCCTGTGAAAAAGCACCGAAGCGGGACACGTAGGCTAACTAGGTGGACCTTAACCCATCAGAATTTGAAGTCTAGACTCGTCTAGACTTTGATCCAGGGTTTGGACACGGGGCGGCACCCATCCAAGCAACAAATCAGTTGAAAGTGAGCAAAGCTTTGCACTTAGACCGCCTCGCCTTTCGCTTTACTCCATGCATCATTGGTGCATGTTGAACCTGTAATGGTGCCGGACGTGCCCACTGAAGTTTATGGAAGAATACAGTTTCAGGACTGCCCCGCCACCTCTCACGACCGTTGGTACCAGCACCTCCGTGGGTATCGCACCGCAGGCACGTCATGGCAGAAAGTCTTACAAGTGGGTTTGTCCCATGTCTGAACGAGGGGTTCTTATGCACGCTGGTCGATCTCCTGCTAGAACTGGATACCAAATCTCCTGTTGTCAACGTTTGCGGAATTGGCTTTTCGTGTCGCACGGAATCCAATCTCTCATGTTGCATGTGCCGTTATCTCCGTATCTACAAGGCAGTAAAAATGCAGTTCGTTCACTTATCTGGTCGGAGCCAGCCACTAGCCACTCATTGCCACACGGCTTTGAATCTGATAGTCAGTGACGAGCGCCGCTCTGTGTTCTTGTTTCCATCCCCGAGTCAGGCCAACTTTGCAACAAAGGCCTCCGTGGTGGTCTTGGCCGCAGCCGTCATGGGAACCCGTCGCTGGAGGCGGAATCGGCTGTTTATTGGAACTGCTCAGGTGCGCCCCAGTATGCCTGAGCTTGCACAGCATGTTGATGCAAGAGCGCCGAAGCACATCATGATCTTCGGACGCTAGAAATTCACAGCATCTAGACTGCTTTGCTCGAAGACGAACTTCTCCAGTCCAAGTTGGTATTGCTCCGAAGCCTTGGCTGTCCACGATCAAGCCTCTTTGCGAGGCCCCGATGGGGAAATCTGCATGGGCGGAAGATCATGCGTCAGGCGTGGTCGTTTCATGCCTTAGAGTGCACTGTGAAAGTGTCCACACTGGAAATGCTGGAAAGACCGTGGTGGTTACATGAATGGCTGTGTGTGTGCGTGTTTGTGTGCGTGTGTAATCCCGATTGCTGAGACTTGGTCAGGGGTCCTTGTGGAATGCTCCAATAGTACAAAGGGTCGGTTGGTTAGCCACTAGACAGGTAAGTATACAAGTGTGGCATGGATCTGTCTGCTCACATGCTGAGCACCAACGTGTCCGTGCACATGCCGATCTTGGCGCGGTTTTCTCACTAAGTAGATCTTCTGACGGTCTCAGTAGGATCAGGATGGGTCGCGAGTCTGCATTTGTGTTGTTGCTAACTGCTAGATGTTCTAAGACACCAGAAGAGTTCTGGCCTGTGGATTGCCATTTCTGGTGTGTCTGTGGGGTGCATCTCCATGTTTGGGCCAGATGCTTGGCGCTTGTGAGCAACCTTATCGACTTCTTGACTGGAAACTGATGTCCCTGCACTCAAGGCAGCTCCCTTTCGCACCTACTCACCGTATCCAAACGCCTCCCCGCGTGGCTGTAGCTACTGTAGCTCGTCACAAACAAGCTTTGGGATGATTGCGCTTTTGACAGGCATCTGCCTTCACATCTAATTTCTCCTGGAATGGGTCTCAACTGGGATTCTGCCATTGTTCAAGCACCTTCTCGTACCTCCTTCATCCGATTCTAGCCCATGAGCCTCTCAAGACTTTGCAACAAGATGAGTTGCTCCAACGCGGACTCGTTAATTAGTGACATCCCTCTGTGGCATGGAGCCATGGCGCTGGATGCAGAGCAGCTCCATGTCTCTCCGCTCGGCAGGGACATCATGGCTGTTTCCTGGGTTCCCTGCTTGCACTGAGTCTTCTCTGCAGACCAGTTTAGACTTCACGCTGGTCGTCCTTAAGCGAAACTCTGCTGAGGCAAGTCCCAGTTCACAGATCGCTCACGTCCAGAATCCTGGCAAATGGCTCTCGAGGGTCGGGGGGACTTCCCTTGTGCTCTCAACATTGCCCAAAGCCATCGGGACTGTCACTTGCCAAACGATTCAGCAACAGAGGATCCAGCGTCTTGGGCTGGAGATGGAGCCACTGTCTGGCTCGGAGAGAAACTACAGGCACGTGGTCATGGTTTTCACAGATCGCTGTCCAACGAATCCTCCAAGAACCACTTCTATGGCTGCTACAGCTGCTGCTGCTACTGGTACTGTTATTGCTACTGCTATTGCTGCTACCGCTGCTACTGCTGCTACTGCTGCTACTGCTGCTACTGCTGCTACTGCTACTGCTACTAATGCTGCTACTGCTGCTACTGCTGCTACTGCTGCTACTGCTACTGCTACTGCTACTGCTACTGCTGCTGCTACTGCCACTGAGACTGCTACTGCTACTGCTACTGCTACCGCGACTGCGACTGCGACTGCTGCTGCTGCTGCTGCAACTGCTGCTGCGACTGCTGCTGCGACTGCGGCTGCGACTGCTGCTGCTACTGCTGCTGCCGGTGCTGCTGCTACTGCTACTGCGACTGCGACTGCTACTGCTGCTGCTGCTGCTACTGCTACTCCTACTGCTGCTGCTGCTGCTACTACTACTACTACTACTACTACTAGCCACCCCCGCACCCCCTCCCAACTACACTTGCTCCATCCGGGCTGGGCAGTAGCAGCTTCTAGACTCCCCAACCGCGACAGCTGCAGAAGATGCAGGGACTCAGGCTCCGTATCTGTGGCAGCTGCAGAAGTTGCAGAGGCCACAGCCGGTGAAGTTGCAAAGGCTTAGGCCCCAGAACTGCGACAGCAGCTGGAGTTGCAAACTCGACGGGGAAGAAGCTTCTCAACCACAGGTGGTCGGATAGTACGAAAACCCTCTGAAATACCGTGCAAAACGCAGGTGCTACCAAGAAGGTTTTAACAACACTAAAGCCTGAAGCGCAACATCTTATAAACATCAACAACAAAGACGCCAGCTGTACGTGAGAGGGGCTTGCCAACACCCCTAAAGCCCAGACCTCGGCGTATGAGGGTTTGCTTTTGTAGCGTGTGCGCGCTAGGGTGTGGAGATGTTGTGCGGGGTGTCCTCGAAACAGTGTGGCGATCATATCCGAAAAAAGCTTCCCCCATCTAATTTTGCCGAAAGCCCTCCGAAATGCCAAGAAAGTTCGAAGATGGATTCAACCCAGTTCGAACATTCCCTTGCATCGAATTTTCTTACAGCGTGGAGCGTGAAACTGTTCTTCTAAAAAGCGAAAAACAGTGCAAAGTCAGAACAGAACAGATCAAAAGACGTCCGCAAAATCCAGTGGAGCACATTGAGCGCATTAGTCGCTCAGCAAGCTTAAGTCCAAAATGCGAAGCTCGAGTTTGCAAACTCGACAAGTCGATTTAGAGGCTTCAAAAGCTGACGACGACGACTACTACTACTAGTACTAGTACTACAACTACTACTTCTACTTCTATTACAAATACTACTACTGCTGCTACTGCTACCACCAGTACCATTACGACTGCTGCTACCCCGACCACTACCACGACCGGCCGCTACCGTTACCACTAGCAATACCACTGCCACTGCCACTGCTGCTGCTACTGCTACTACTAACTACTGCTACCACGACGACGTCGACGATGACAACGACGACGGCGAGAGCGACGACTACTACGGCACTACTTTTGCTACCAACAATGAGTTTCGGTACAATAATACGACGATTACTACTAACTATTGAACTAGTGCTGTTCTTAGTAAGAGCAATGATGACCATGATCAGGGTGCTGCTGCTGATGCTGACTGTGACGTGAAGATTCTGGTATGCGGGTTCATATGGAAATAGCTATGATGGTGACGATGGCGATTGATGCTTCTGTTCAGGATGTGCCGATGATGATGAAGATTCTGGATGGATTCAGCTCTACCCCATGGCCCATGCCAGACGCAGCCGCAGGCCCGAGACAGTGCGCTACGACATCTTGTGTGGCCAACGCTTCTCAGCGGTTTGCCGGCTGACCGCCAGGCTGTCCGAATGCACCAGGCAAAACTACATGAAAGCGTGCACGCATTAACCTGTAGGTTTGTGTGCTTGTTCACGTTAGTCCGAGTATGCCTCTTCCGCGTTTGTTGGATGTCAACTTTTGCCGGCTTTGCAGTTTTCACCTCCGGTTTTGAATCTGCGAATCACAGGGCCAGCCTAGCAATCCTGCTGCTGGCGAACGGGGTGGCTGGGTGTCTGGTCGGCTGCAACATCATTGCTTGCTTTATGCCTCATCATTTGACAACCGTGTTTTGTGCATGTGTGCGTGTGCATGAATACACTTTGATACATGAAACACGTTGCACTTGGTAGAGCGTGCTTCTCTTGGTATGTTCCACTGCAGTCATGTTGTCGTGCGTGCCTCGGGAATCCTTTTGTAACCCCCTCAACTCCCTGCCCAGAAAGACGGAGCGACACACAGCATTGTGCTCTTCACCGTTGTAAGGGATGCCCAGCAGTGCTGACACGAACAAACATCGCCGGAAGTACGACGGAACACCTTCAGCCGAGAACCCACTACCACACACGTGCGAGGAAGAGGACGAGGCGGCAGGACCGATCAGTGCAAGGACGATCAGGACAAGGAGAACGGTGAAGACAAGCCGGACCCAGCAGACGCCAGGGACGAGGAAGCTCACGCGAAGCAAGAAGCGGCCGAATAACGGGCGGAGGACAAGGAGGACGAGCCGGACGCGAGAGAGTGAGGGGAGAGGAGGGCTGAGTGACTGCACGATGTCTTGGGCATGTGTTTCCGTGCTTGTGTCAGTGTTACGCAGGTACACCAGCCCCTTGCTTCTCCATGCTCATGTGCCAGTGGAGCCTGCGGTGCGCTACCGTCGCTTGGGCTAAGAATTTCAGGGTTCGCAGGGATGAATGACGGGAACCCCTTGACTGTTTCGCTACAATCACCTACTTGTATTGCGGATATCAGCCAGGACAAGCCGACCGTATCCCCAAACCGCATACCGCATAAACCAAGAACATAATCCTCAACTCCTTTCGCTGACCAACCCTCGGCTTTGCGTTCGGTGGTTTCAGGTGCAGAGGTTAGCAGTTCTGTTCGCAAAGCATCGGCGCTGTTGCATGCGAGGCTTTCGACTGGCATCCAACGAGACGGATGCGACGACACCCTGGCGGAACCTGAACCCTAGCAGACTTCAGACACAGCTTTGGTGAGAGCTCCGAGGGATCTGATTCCGATTTGTTGTTTCAAGGCATGTATGTTACATGCCACGGCATGCCCTGGCCATGCCAGTCATCACACTGTTCAAGCTGCCGACATGAGGAAGGGTCTTCCGAAACTGGGAGACGAGCTCAAAGTTGCTGTCATAGGCGCGGTCCTCCTACTTCCCATGTCAGGGATGGTTTCCACGTCTCTGGTCTGGTCCCCACCATCGCTGTGGTGCGTGTGCTGCCTTCCGAGAACGAAAGTACTGTGGGAAGCGGTTTTCGGCAAGACTTGACCCAGCTCTAAGTAGACGGAAGAACTGTGCTAGCTAACGTTTCCAGCATCCGATGCTCTCGGCCTGAACTCTGTGGGCCGGCACCGTGTTCGGCACCTCAGCAAGCGGAAGTGAGTACAAACGCGACAGAATTGGTACAAACACGTGTTCTCTCTAGCCCAGTCTATCCCATCCATCCCTGAGTGATACTCCATGTACATCTATGTACATCTACGTACTATATTCTAGGGGCTGCGCCCAGGTGCGGGCAGCGCGAGTTGTTGTCAGCGGATGTAGCGGGGGAACGGGAAAGACACGGTCAAAATTTCCAGACGGTGCCGAGACAACGACAGCTCGACACCGGAACAAAAGTGCAACGTAGGCCCGAAGTGCACAACTTATGGGTGATCTTACGCTCTTAGCCCTCGTCGGCCCTCCATGTAGCCCGCATCCGCCCTCCGCCGGACCCCGCTGATGCTGATGATGCGCGCCCTTTTGGGGTTTCCGCAACCCACGCAAAAACTTGGAAATCATCACTTCGCGCCCACTTCGCGCCGCGGGGCCGGTTGCGGTTGCGGGCGCCCGAGTGCTCATGATGCTCGCCGGCTCGCCTCCTGGGGTCGTCCACGGCGGCCCCGAAACCCGCCATGTTGTGGGGAATGGCTGCGAAGCGCGTGCGCGTTCCGAGACGCCTCCGGGCCAGGGCCCGCGCGGCCCGATGGAGAAACGGAGGTCCGATGATGCGGGGTCGGCGGCGGGTCGGCGGCACAAGCCGTCGTGGCTTTTGCTTCGCAAGAGAAGGCAATTTCGTCTGAGCCATAGCTCAGTCCATACAGGGCAGCGAAGCGCTGCCCGATTTATGGGCTGCCGCCACTGCCGCCGACCCCAAAAGAAGAGAGGTGACCATCCAAGGAAGGCAGCAGGTGTTGAAAGCGGCCAACCCTGATACGGAGGAAGTGGCATGAAATAATAAGATAGGGCCTGCAAGTCTTGTAACTGGCACGAGTAGCATGAGCACATGACTGATGCGGCGAAGTATTCGGACTGACGCAGTGCTCAGCTCTCGGACATTGTGTGCGCATGTTTCAGCAACCTTGTGACTCAGAGGCAAAAGGCATCCGCACAAAACCAAGTTTCGCAGGAAGTTCTCCTATTATCGGCTAGGTAGGTCTGGAATAGGAGGGTCACACTGCAGCACGTGATCAGCATGCTGTTCTTTCTTGTTATCACCACGGTGTTCCGTGGCCATTTTGGGTCGAGACGATCGTCTCGGTCCGTGAAGGACTTTTTGTGTCGGTCAGCTGTGAGGTCTAGGCCTGGGTAGCTTTCGCTCGAGCGATGGCAGGTTGGGGTCAAGATGCTTGGGGTCAGCAGCAGGCTGATCAGCCGCAGCCTTACGCTGGTTACCCTAATCAACCTAGGGGCCAGTGGGGAGGTCAGAACCAACACGATCGCAGGGAGAGGCGACAACGCCGCGAGCGTGGTGGCGATCGCTTCCCAAACGCTGCTCACAACCCCTACGAGGTTCGTCTCCCCCCGCACATCGAGTCGATCGCTACCTGTGAGGACGACGATCGCAAGACCTCGATCATCATGGTCGACAACAGAGACGATAGGATCGTCTCGCCTTTTCAGGCATGGCTGGTCCGGGAGATCATGACGAACGCCTCCTCCTCGACGAACGTCTTGACGGAGAGAGATCAAGTCATGACTCCCAGTTCTGGGTACCACATGTCGCTCTTTGCCAACTACACTCTGGATGGCATAAAGGCGACACTGGCGATCTGTCTGCTCAGACCGCCAAGGCACTCGCCCACGAGGCTTTTCAGCCTTTCTCGTGGCCGGTGCTCAGGGACACGTCACCATCGTACACCGACATCAAGGTGTACAATGGCAATGAGATCCTCTTTCATTGGATCCTGAGGGGATACCGTGCCGACTCGGATCTGTCGGTTCAGCAGCAGTTCGCTGATGAGCTGCTGATCCGCGACGTCTGCCGTGGTCGGGTGCGGCTCTCAGTCGTGGTGGCCGCTTTCACCGGTTGGAAGTGCTCCGTCTTCTCTTTCGAGTGTGGCGGTCGCACATACTCTGTGGGTCCTCAGGGCGTGGTCGTGGCTGGAGATCATGCCCGCTCGAGGTTTGAGCTCCGAGTGTGCAGCCGCTCTTCAGAGGATGCGGTCGGAAATGGCGCCGATCGGCTGGAGTTCCGCTATCGGGATGCCAACAATCGCATGGACTTGAAGTGCGCTCGCACTTCGGTCCCGGCTACGTGCCAGGCCATCACCCGGTGCCGTGATCAGCGGGCACGGGTGGAAGGGCCTGAACAGACTGAGCAGTTCGCTCAGCTGGCGGCCGCTCACCAAAACTGGTGGCACAACGCTCTCACCACGGACTATGCCCATATCGGCGTGCTGGTCTCGTTCGTGGGCGGCCTTGATCATGGCAACTTCCACGTTCAGTGCGAGAGCAAGCTCTACGTGATGCAGGGCGCCGTGGTCTCTAGGGCGGCGCTCGCCGAGATGACCCACACTCAGGAGTCGGCCTCTCCGCTGCCGTTCGGCCCGCCCGCTCTTTCTCAAGGGGCTTGGCGGCAGGCGGCGGTCAGCTCTGACACGGCGGTGCCGGAGACTTCGCAGATTGCCGTTCGCAATCGCAATCGGATGGAATCCCGGCCCGGGCGCTCGCCCCCGAAGATCGACCTCCTGCTCAGCCGGTGGACTACGATCAGAACGATGAGGAGGGCACCCGTGGGCACATGATCGATGCTGCCAGGGACGATGCTCGGCAAGATCGTTCCTTTGCCCGCTCGACGGCAAAGCTCACACCAGCGCAGTTCGCCGAGCTGGCTGACTCGTACCACAACCCTGCTGGTCACGCTACCTCTTCGGCGGCAGCTCAGTTTTCCACGGTCGTGGTTGAAGAGGCCGAGCCGGAGAACTTGCTGGCTCCAGCAGGTGAGCCGACCTCGTTCAGGCCGCACCGCACGCCATGATCGAGGCAGATCTCAGAGGTGCTCACCCGTTTTGATCCAAGGGGTGTTCACCCCAGGATGCCGTGAAGGCGATTTAAGTTCTCGCTCGCATTTTGGAGCCACGACTGCTCCCGCTCGGGCAAAAGTTTCCAGGGATGCATCCGGATGCGATCAGCAGTTCTGCACATGTTTTCACTGTTGATGTCTCTCTCTCTCTCTCTCTCTCTCTCTCTCTCTCTCTCTCTCTCTCTCTCTCTCTCTCTCTCTCCTCTTCTCAGTGCAACATGTTCACAGTGCTCGGCATTCATGTCGTTCGTCGTTCGTCGTGCCGTTCGGTTGGCCGGGAAGGTTGGTCGGGGCACTGCAACGACGATGCTCATGATGCCTTCCTCGAGTTTCTTCTTTCGCTAGTTTTGGCTCGGCAGGATGTTGCGGGAAGCAGCGCCAGCCGATCGCTGGACAGCGAAGATCCTTGCTTACCCATGTTTCGACCCTGGGTTTCGCCAGGCGATCGTGGCGACCCGGCTGGCTGAGATCCCTTTTGTCCTTTCAATGGACGCCGGGACGCCTGAGCAGTTCGCCGCGGTGTCTCTCGACTGGACGGCCAGCTCGGCCAAGACGGAGCACGACCTCCTGGCTCCGAGGACCCAAATGCTCGAACAGTACTGGGTCTTCGTGAAGGCCGCGGAATCGCTCTTTGTTGAGTCTCTCGGCTACCAGATGGGCTTTGCTTGCTGCTCGAAGGTGCCCCGAGAACGTTCTGCAAAGTCGATCGCACACTTTCAACGGGAGATGGCCATCCGAGCTCTAGCTGCACCAGTTCTGGCTCCTTCGGCCAAATCGAGGCTGCCGGCAAGCTCTTCTTCTCCCTCGGCGACTCCATTGCTCGACTTGGAGAACGCCGAGAAACAGAAATGGGCTAAGCGCTTGAAGGCGATCGCTGATCGGGCCGGCGAATACGCTCGGCCCGAAGGGGGCCACGATGCTGAAGGGATCCTCTCGGAAGAGGAACGCGCTCGCCTTCGGCTGTTGGTTTTCACCTCGGGTGCGCCTTCTACAATGGCAAACCACATTCGTAGGTTCGAGAAGTTCGAATTGTGGGCTCGGCACGTGCCGCTCCCCCTCTACCCCATCTCGGACGACAAGATCCTGAAGTATGCCATGGAGCTCGACTCAAGGGAGTGCGGCCCGACTGTTCTTCCTTCGCTCCGCATGGCTCTTAAATGGGTGGCTTTTCGGATTAACCTCAAGCTCCCTTCGATCGAGACAGCGGAGCTAAAGGCGCTCGAGAAGGAGATCTTCACACAGCGAGGGCGGCCGCTGAAGGAAGCGATCGCTTTCCCGCTCGAGCTGGTCCAGGCTATGGAGCGCTTTGTCGCTAACGAAGCTCACCCTGCGCCGGCTCGGGTGTTCCTCTGGTGGGTCCTCTGCATGATCTTCGCGTCGCTCCGCTTTGACGACGCGATCCATGTGAAGCCCCACGAGCTAGAGGTCAAGCCCGACGGTCTGTTCGGGATCTCCTGGCAGACTAAGACTGAGCGGAAGCGGCGCGGCACCAAGTTCATGGTCCCCGACGTTGCTTTTTCTAAAGTGGCGTGGTTCAAGATCGGGAAGGACTTGTTCGAGTCGCAGTTCCCGCTCGTGGAACGCGACTTCTGGATCCCCGAGCTCGACACCAAGGAGCGCTGGCGCCAGACTCCCCCTGATTACGCTCGCTCTCTCCAGTGGCTCCACCACCTGGTTTGGCTCGCGGGGCAGGAGAGTGCGGTCGCGAGGGAGTTCCTGGACAAGGTCACCGATCTTACGTGGCACTCAGCTCGAGTAACTATGCTTGATCTGGCCGTCCATTGTGAACGATCGGAACAAGAGATCGGGGTTCAGGCGAACTGGAAGAACCCCGGCCCGCTCGTCCTCAAGTACACTCGCTCGAGGTCTTCTCTTCCAGCGAAAATGATCAAAGAGTTGGTGCAGGAGGTCTCGCGCGAGTTCGTGCCCCTCTGTGCTCAAGAGGATGACACAATCGAGGACGCAGAGGACAGGGATCTTTCACTGACTGAGTTCTTTGTCAAAGTCCCGGTCAAGGGCTCTAGTTACGACTATCGTTTTCATGTGTGTTCAGCAGACTCTGTGGAAGAGATTGCATGCAAACGCGCGATCACGCCCGAATTTACACACATCGGGTCCGTTCTGCCCGACCCTAAGCTCTTTTGCAAACTGTGCGCTAAGGCTCGGCCAGACGTGGCTCTCGCCTTTAAGGTCTAAAATTCTGTGCATTCTGCGCCTGCTCGCGCCTTGTCGCATTTGAGAAAACTTCGTTAAGCTTGCTCAAGCTTTGATTGAGGCTCTTTTGCGTTGTTCCGCCATGGTCGACCGCACGGTCTACCCGGACAAGGACAAGACGCCTGAGCTCGCCTTACGCCAGATCTTCGGACGGCAGAAGCTCCCCGAGAACTTATGCCTTCTCATGGCGAATAAAGGCATGCTCTCCGTCGAGCGCATGTCTATGCTCGGGGACTCCATCGCGTCGGTCAAGGCGACGCTCCGGGCTATCGTTGGAGACGACACGCAGTTCGGGGCCGATGGGCCGGCCCAGGAGCTCTCGCTCACTCTCCTGACCGCGATCTGGAAGTCAGCCTCAGTTCTGCAAGAACACGTTGCCTCTCGGCGGGCCAAGATGGAGGAGGATCCGTCCAAAATACCAGAGATTCCTGGTGAAGATCATGCTGAGTTTCGTGAGCTCTTTGTCACTCAGCACCCCGACATCATTCTCACCTACATGCGCGAGCCGCACCGGAAGTTCGTCGAGCGGATCCACCGGGACTATATGGTCCATGGGGCGGTCGCGTTCTACGAGGTCGCTGAAATGCGCTCCCGCTCGGACCGCATGGTGCAAACACCTGGCTTCTCGAAAACTTCCGAGGATCTCCTCAAGGTGGTCCAGCTCGACAACAAGGTGGCCGTCGCCTCTGAGACGGAGGTCATGGATCGCCTCCACTCGTTCTTTGTGGCGCTCGAGTACCTCAACATCTGCGAGTTCACCTTCGACTCCGGTCCCCTCAAGTACCTCTCGGAGCTCGAGGAGTGGCGCCACGAGAATCGTGGTCTCGCAGTTCTTCTCGCCGCTGATTCCTTGATCAGGAAGAAGGTCTACAAGCTCAACAACGACAAGCGCAAGGACTTTCCTACGTTCTCTGAGGCTCTCTGCGAGGTCCTCAAGAACTACAAGCAGCTCTGGAACGACGCTCGTTCCACAGCTGAACTTGAAAAGTTTCGCCAGGTCGAGCACGAGTTCGCTACTCCTCCGAAGCGGCCTCGCTCGAGGTCCCCTCCGCCGACACCTCCGAAGAACGAGGCCAAGACTCGCAAGAACCGAGCTCGTCGGCAGAAGGAAAAGGAGTTGCTCAAGCAAGCTCGCGCAGAGCGCGATCGCGCTCGTGACCACTCTAAGCCGAACAAGCCTTCAGTGCCTAAGCTCACAGAGAAGGACAAGGTCGATCGCGACACCTGGGTTCCGGAGAAGGAGTGGAAGAAGATCATGTCTTTCTCTTATACTGGGGCTCGCCGCTGCCCATGGTTCAACTGCTCACTCGGCTGTCGGTTTGGAGATCAATGCAAGAACAAGCATATCTGCGTGCAGTGCGGGGGTGATCACCCCTACCATGGCAATCACTGAGCTCTCGTGCCACCGCCGGGGGAGTTTGGTCGTCTCCCTCCGGCACCGGTGCTCGACAGACCACCGGGGGAGTTCTCCCCCCCCACACTGCAGCAGCCGCCGGCTCTGGCTGCTAATGAGGTTTCTTCTCAGAGACTGACAGCTGCCCCTGCAGGTCGGCCGCCACCGTGGCTTCGTTGGGCTGAGGTGCCCCGGGATCCCGACACAATTCGTGAACTCGGTCCCTGGTGCCTCGAGATCTTTGCCGGATCTGCTGGCCTCACTGATGCCTGGAAACGTCACGGTCTTAAGACTTTGCCGCCGATCGACACGTGCACCTCCGAGTTCCTTCTGGAGTCGATCGACTTGCTGGACGCACAGGTCTTTGATTGGCTGCTCTTGCTGTGCCGCATGGGGGCGATCGTCTTTCTGCACTTGGGCATTCCCTGCGCCACGTTTAGCGTGGCTAGGGATCGACCTGGAGGACCTCCCCCCCTGCGATCGCAGGCGCTCCCCCTTGGCCTCTACGTTCTCAAGAAGCACCATCAAGCACAGCTCTTCGAGGCCAACGAGCTCTTGTTCCGATCCCTTCTTCTTTTCGACGCGGTGGTTCAAGCTGGCGGAGATGCCTCGATCGAGAACCCGAAGGACAGTCTGATCTGGCAAGTCCCTCAGGTCCAGCAGCTCAAGGTTCGTCTTCACCTCTACAACGTCGATCTTGATCAGTGCGAGTATGGATCACCTCATCGCAAGCCTACTCGGCTTCTTGTCAGTCACGCTGCTCTTCTCGCGCTTGCACGTCCTTGTTCAGGTGGACATGTTCATGAGCCTCTTCGTGGCGTGACAAGGTCGGAGACTGGCAAGAAGATCTTCAAGACTAAAGCAGCTCAGGTCTACCCCTCGGCGCTTTGCACCGCGTGGGCGATCGCCGTGGCCGCGATCGTGCAGAAGTCGGCCCAGCAGTTCGCCGCTTCGTTTGCTCTCACGGCTCCGTCGGCAGAGCGCAAGCGATCTTTGGGATCCCAGATTGCTTGGAAAGGCCATCGCCAAGTCGCTGCCGCTCGGCTGGCGGCGGCTAGCGGCTATCAGCTCAAACGAGGTGCCGCCAAGCCGCTGCTCGACGTCGAGTGCGAGCCTGGTCAGGCAATCCAGTGGTCTCTTCAGGTTCGGCACCCATTCACCGTGCAGCCGGCGCTCCCCGACAAGATCGTCGACAACATCAAGTTCATTGTCTCCTCTCCGCAGGCGCTCGTGGCTCGCCGTTCTGAGCGCCTTCAGTTCTGGCAACAGCGTGCGCTCACGCTGCTTCCGGAGACAGATCGGATTTTGCGGTCCATCGCCGACGCTCCTCTTCGTCGGCTTCTTCGCGGTGCTCCAGACTATGCTGATCTGCAGCTGGGCTCTTGCACTCACGTGGCGCTCTACGACGAGCTCTTCGCAGCGATCGGCTGCACGGATCATCAAATTCTCCAAGGCATTCGCGGTGGCTTCCCGATCGTTGGCGAAATCCAGCGCTCGGGGCGCTGGCCGCCGTTCACAAAGCTACAGCGGTCAGTGCCTGTTCAGGAAGCTCTGGATCGGGCCTGGGAGTTGCGAGCCAAGGTCGTTCGCAGATGCAGGTCGGTTCCCGTTTCTGACAATCTAAGGTCTCTTTGGAATGCCACGCTCGAGGACGTCAAGGAAGGCTCCACCCTGGGTCCTTTCGGATCCGAAGAGGAAGTCTCCAAGTTCTTGGAGTGTTCTGACTGGATCCCGACCCAACGTTTCGAAGTGGTTCAGAAAAACAAGGTCAGAGGCTGCGACAGTGCGACCTCCAACTTGATCAATCAGACCGCGGTGATCACCGAGAAGTTGGAGCTCACCTCTACGGACCTGAACGTGGCGGTTCTTCGCGAACTCCGCACCCGAGGAGGCGATCGCCCGCTACGAGGATGGGTCCTTGACGAGCGAAAGGCCTATCGGCAGCTTCCGATCTTGCCGGAGCACAGGAAGTTCAGTGTGATCTGCCTCAAGGATCCTGGTGATGGCATCCCCAAGTTCTTTGTGATGGTCGGACACTCCTTCGGGCTCGTGGCGGCGGTCTACAACTATAATCGCCGCTCGGCCCTGATCAACGATATTCTCGTCCGGCTGTTCAGCATGGTCGCCTTCAACTTTTACGACGACAAGTACGGGTTCGAGACCGATCTCACGGTGCCGTCGGCCAAGGTCGTGGCCGAGTGCATCCACTTCTGGCTCGGCGCTCTGTTCGACGAGAAGAAGCTCCAGCTCTCGGCAGCGCCCGTGATCTTGGGCGTTACTTTTAACCTGGAGCTTCTAGTTCTTGAGATCAAGGAGCAGAGGAAGCAGGAGCTCTTGGACTCGATCGACTCGATCTTGGAGGCAGGTACCCTGGATCCTGGGACCGCAGGGAAGCTCAAGGGCAAGCTCATGTTCGGAGCGAGCCAGCTCTGGGGGAAGGTTGGACGTGCGTTCTTCCGGCCCCTCTCGGAGCGCCAGTACTCGAAGGATCGGTCTGGCGATCGTATGGAGCTCAACCTTGCTCTGGAGCGATCGCTTCGTTACTGGCGGAACCTCATCGTTCAGGGTCCTCCGCGCGAGATCTCACTCCGTTCGGAGAAGAACGCTGACGTCGTGATCTTCACAGACGGCTTCACTTTTCGGAAATCGGAAGAAGAAGCCGATCGGATCGGTGCCGTGATGTTCGATCGGAGGGCCGATGTTCCCAAGCAGTTCACTGAGGTAGTGATCCCACTTGAAGTTTCGGACCGCTGGCTCGCGAGGAAGACTCAGATCGTCCCGATCGAGATGATCGCGCCGATTCTGGCGCTCGAGACTTTCCGGGATCACGTGAAGAATAAGGACGTTCTCCTTCTGATCGACTCTGAGGCGGTCGAAGCTGCTCTAGTGAAAGGATACTCTTCGAAAGAAGATCTTTGCGAGCTCGTAGAAGTTTTCTGGGAGTTGGCTCTCGAATATAGGGTCAATTTCTTCATCGATCGAGTTTCTACAGATGCCAACCCAGCGGATTGGCCGTCGAGGGATCGCCTCGAGATCGGTCAGGCCGCAGGGTGGACGACAGTTTGTTGCTCGTATTTCGAACGAAGGGAATTTGTTCGAGATGCTCTCGCGTCTGGTGTCCCGGGAAGGGTTCGCCGGTTGCGGGTTCGAGCGACTGCGACGACGACGACTCCGTTCGTGGGTTGTCGTTGTCCTGGGGTGGGGGCCGGTCGTTTCTGATGCTCTTCGTTAGCTCGTCTTGTGACCGCTCAACCCCATGCTAGAGCGGATCAAACATTGCTCGTCCGCTCGGTTTGTGGCATGCTGTTCAGTGAGCTCGCGAGCGTTCGTGCGTGTAGTGTGGTTCTCCTATTATCGGCTAGGTAGGTCTGGAATAGGAGGGTCACACTGCAGCATGAGATCAGCATGCTCTCTTCAGACTTTTGTTCACCACGTTGATCCGTGGCCATTTTGGGTCGAGACGATCGTCTCGATCCGTGAAGGATCTTTTTGTCCCACCCAACCCGCCCTATTAAGAGGTGGGGAGGTTGCTCGTATTTCGAACGAAGGGAATTTGTTCGAGATGCTCTCGCGTCTGGTGTCCCGGGAAGGGTTCGCCGGTTGCGGGTTCGAGCGACTGCGACGACGACGACTCCGATCGTGGGTTGTCGTTGTTCGGGGGTGGGGCTGGTCATATCTGATGCTCTTTTCGTGGATCGTCTTCGGACCGCTCGCCCCCATGCCAGAGCGGATCAAACAGTGGTTGTCCGCTCGGTACTGTGCAGGCTGTTCAGTGAGCTTGCGAACGTTCGTGCGTGTAGTGTGGGCTGTGTTCGTTATGATTAATGTCAACCTCCTATTAATAACCCCCCCTCCCCCCCCCTCTCCCCCCTTGATTGATTTGGCGCCGGGGTGGGGGGGATTGAGTACTGAGGGGGGGGTCGGTCGTCGTAGTACAGTAGTATATACGGAACCAGTGCAGTTGTGGCCATGGGGTGGTATGACAAAAAAATCGCGCGCGCGGCGGGGCATCGCAAGGCCGGGAGATGGTGGGGGTAGTGAAAACGGTGGTGGCGTTGGATGAAGGTCGGTGTGGGCGGTGGGGGCGGTGTGGGCGGTGGGGGCGCGGGGGGGTCCGGGCACACATTGGCAGCCTAAATACTCTTTACTCTTTAAACACCTACAAACACAGCGGGCGGTCAGAGCGGTGGAGGTGGAGGCACAGTGCAGGCGTGGCAGTAATGGAGATGGTGGGGGTGGTGGCGGTGGATGAAGGTGGTGGGGGTGGTGAGGGCGGTGAGGGCGGTGTGGGCGGTGGGGGCGGTGTGGGCGGTGGGGGCGGTGGGGGCGGTGTGGGCGGTGTGGGGAGTGGGGGCGCGGGGGGGTCCGGAATACTCTTTACTCTTTAAACACCTACAAACCAGGACCCTCTGTTCGACGTGTTTTGCGTTCCAGGCCCAAAAACATGTCAGTTAACATAGACAGAACAAAACATGTCATTTACTGTGACATATATGTCACACATACTTACAAACGTTATGGGGGCTCGCGTGCCCTGTGGGCTACACATAAGACGCCTTCAACCCTATATGCACTAACGTTTAAGCCCGGAAGCTGAGACTCAAAGCTCTCAATCCTAATCTACCTTCGGCGAACCCAAAAACCAGCAAACAATCTTAAGCCCTAACCCTAAACCGGCTCTGGTCTGTTATTCGGTTTTGGGAAGGGCTTGGGGCTCTCGGCTTGTAGGGGTGCTGTGTTCAGGGTGAGGAGGTTTCAGGGTTTTTTAAGGGTTTCAAGGCTTGGGGCGCTCGGCTTTACGGGGTTTTGTTTTCAGGGTGAAGAAGAGGTTTCGGGAGTTGGGGTTCGTGGCGTCAGGGTTTGTAGGGGTTTCAGGGCTTGGGGCTCCCGGCGCTTTAAGGATTTGTTGTTCAGGGTCGGACACCTCTCCTTTTGCAGCTCCATGCCGCTGTCCTCATTCGGAATCTGAAGATGAAGGTTCCATGGCGGCCAGTCTTTTGTTCTCCCAAGTAACAGAGGCGAACCAGGCCCAGCGTTCCAGAACAGTTTTGCAGAGCTGCTTGGGTTTCTCGATCACAGCCAGCCAGCTTTTGACCCTCCCCACCAGATCTCCTTCTTGATAATTGGAGACTCGGAGAGGATTTGGCAGCAAAGTCATATCAAGGACGAGGTGTTCGAGCCTTTTGCTGGCCAGACTCATCTAGGGTGTAGAGAACTTAAGGTTTAAGGATTTATGCTCTCACTCTAGGACAAGCCAAACGAGGTATGTCGATACGATTAAGGGTTTAAGAGTTTAGCGTTTAGGGTCTCGTAGGAATGAATCTTGCCGACGTGCTGGCAGCCAAAGAGCTCTCGGCATCAGTTGCAGCTCACTTGAAATTCATTGCGACCAAGGGTGCGTAAGCGGCTTGGCAGGGAAAGGGAGAGGCAAAGAGGCGCAGCCAAGCTTCGTGAAATTTCGGAAGAGTTTCGTACAGAGATTCGTCAGATGCGACAGCTTCACAGGCTGACATGATTGCTTCAGAATTGCGGCTCGAGGTCTGCGAAGCAAACCAATCGATCGAGCTACAGCCCTGGCCGGTGAATGCTTCTCGGAACTACAGCCGGGAATATATGCCAGGGATCCAAGAGAAGGCAGTGGTGTAAGTCATTGACAAACTCAGCTTGTTCTCGTTGCTCATCACTCAGCAAGGGCCCGGCATCGGTGAAAGTGCATCGAAGTCGGTCCAGCCCGACGAAATGCTGTGTGTTGGTGACAGAAGCCATATCCCAACATTTCCCAGCAAACCAGCCAACCAAGATTCGCGATAGAAAAAGCTTGTCCAAACCGAGGCACGGCTCCATTCAAATACTTCTGTGCCAGTGTCGGGAATTCTCCAGCAGCCCGGTTGGCTTGCATAGACTCCAGCGTGAATGGCGGAGCCCTGCAACCCTAGATGGAGTCTAGCTCAGGATCTGATAAAGGTCCCTGAAGGCATCCTTAAGGCCCTGCGGATCTCGATGCAACAAAGAAAAAAGGCCTATATAAGCCCATGCACGCGACCAGCCCTGACAAATTTCTATAGACGTATACTTATAATCCACGGCAGGTTGCGGACGCGCTCCTTCTTGCATTCGCCAGCGAACTCACTGCAGGCGTTGGAAAAGCCTTTCCTGTTGGTCGTGACCTTTCGGATCTTTTCTATATCCGTGATGCGGGTATATTTATTGCATTTAATTCGATCAACCCGAAGCACCCCTAGCTGGAACTGCCGGCGCCGAGGATTCCAGGCCTGGCCAGTGTGAAGCACAACATGTAAGCTCGAGCAAGGCCTATAGCCAACACAAGGAACACAAACTACCACGATCTCCAACAAAAGATGCTGACCAGCCATGTGGCGGACGCCGGCGCCAAGGCCAGATCCACGATATGTAAATAATCACGCCAAATCAGGAGATGCAGATACCGCGGCACAGCAGCCAGGGACTCCGAGCGATGCTCCCGAAGAATTCTTGGTCCGTCGTGAGCCTCAGGACAGGGGGACCGATCTGGAGGGCCGTGGTGGATCGATTAAGGCTTGAGCCCTTTTCATTCATCAGATTAGAACTATACAGGAGCAGACTTGGGGCTTTACATAGCCATACCCCCAAAAAATCTAACTGTCAGTAGCTATAAGATCTGTATAGGAAGGCTCCGGGACGAATCTGTCGGTTTATATTAGAACTATACAGGAGCAGACTTGGGGTTTTGCATAGCCATACGCCCAGAAAAGCCAACTGTCGGTTGCTTTAAGATCTGTACAGGAAGGCTCCGGGACGAATGTGTCGGTTCATATTAGAACTATACAGGAGCAAACGTGGGGTTTTGCATAGCGGGTTCCGGGTTTAGGTCTGACTGCGGGGACTTCCAATCCGATTGCCGGGGCCCTCTACCTTAACACAAATTGGGTTCAAGGTCTAACTTCGAGGTTGCACAGATGGAGGGGTTGAGGGGTTCAGCTATTATTGTCGTTTGGAGCGAAGAAAGCTATCCTCGGGTTTCGGGTGAGACATCGGCTTTTCATTGTTCCCGCATATAGGATCCATCGAACCTTATTGTTTAATATACCCTGAACCCTACAACGCCTAAGGCCCCATACCGAAACGACGGCACCGCCGAGCTTCTCCTGGGCCTGAAAATTCGCAGAGACACAGCAGCTTAAGTGACAACCCGCCTTGCGTCCGCCGAGGACTTCAGGCACACAGAACCCGGCACCTCGGACATTATGTAGTAGTATCCCAGGTTATCCATCGAAGCACTTGGTGTCAATGTCTGGCCTCCTGGAACGTGACTTGATCGACTTGGCTGTCGCCCATATTGATTCTAGTCGCAGAAGCGCAGCAATGCAGTATAATCACCAATCCTGGTCACACATGCAGTGCACTCTATGCACAGGAGCACTCCAGCTACAATCCTATCGCTCGTTCGACCAGTGACGCGAATTGTCAGGAATGCCCGGGTCTGGGGTTCCAAGCAAGTGCCACGAAACAGAAAGAAAATCCCGACCGAAGGTGCCCCAAATGACACGCAAATGACACGCAAATGACACGGAATGGGGCCTCCCGAACATGTCAGTTAGAAAGCTAAGTGTATGGTTTGGGGCCCCAAATGACACGCAAATGACACGCAAATGACACGGAAAAGGGGCCTGTGCCAACCCCAAAACCCGAGACCGTGCCCCGAACCCGCTGAAACAATTGACACCAGGCCCGAGGCGCCCAGGTGCCCGGGCGGTGCCGAGGCGCCAGAGGCGCAGGTGCCCGGGCGGCGCCGCCCGAGCCGCCCAGGTGCCCCGGGTGGCGCCTGTTTGTCTGACACCGAGCCAATTGACACGAAATGTCTTTGTAGCACATGACACTACACGGGGCTATCAGCACGTTTCGCTTTTCCTAGTGCAGCAAGCCGCTCATGGTCAAAGTGGCCTTTCGGTTGGGCGAGGCCAGCAAGCTAACAGCTCTAATTATTGCTGACTTCAGCACATAGACTTAATATTATGCATGCCGACTTCCACGAAGCAACCTTGCCCAGCAAATCGTGGAGCTCGCAAACATAAGTATCCTCCGGCTCGGCCCTGCTAGCATCAATATCACCGCAAGAGACAGCTGCTGTCTGGATCGACGCCACACTTCGCTTGGCTTCACGAAACCTTGGCTACAAACCTAGTCTCTAAGCCCCGTATAGAAGAAGGCTCCAACGTGTCGTTTTTTATTATATATCTGTGTATAGAGGACTCCGGGACTAATTTGTCGGTTAATATGGGACCCATACTGGCACTATACAGGAGCAGACTTGGGGCTTTACATAGCCATACCCCCAAAAAATCTAACTGTCAGTTGCTATAAGATCTGTATAGGAAGGCTCCGGGACGAATCTGTCGGTTTATATTAGACCTATACAGGAGCAGACCTGGGGTTTTTCGTAGCCATAAGCCCAGAAAAGCCAACTGTCAGTTGCTTTAAGATCTGTATAGGAAGGCTCCGGGACGAATGTGTCGGTTCATATTAGAACTATACAGGAGCAGACTTGGGGCTTTACATAGGCCAAAAGAAGCCGGGGCACATCTCGGCAACGGCGATACCGAAATTCACAGTGTAGCTTTGCGTGCTCTTGAGATCTTCGCCACCGGTCTTATACTGATCGCTATATATGTAAGGCTTCCAGCGCTTGTGTTACAAAAAAATCAGGGGCAGGGGTTTCGGTTTCGTGTAGAGGTTCGGGTTTAGGTGTAGGCTTTCGGGTCTAGGGTTTTGGCCTCCGGGGTTTGAGATTGGGGCTTAATTGCATGCTTATAAAATGTCTGCAGAGCTGGCATTTGCTTGCTTCCGGGTGGTTTCAAGCTCGAGATTCTAAATTTAGATTAGGTCAGCCATGACACAGCAGTCTTCTTTCCGCGCGAGGTGACACGTCTTGTGACGATCTGACGTCTTTTGCTCCTGCCACACAGAGGGGCGTGGATGTAGGGCTGTTGCTTCGAGGGTTTCAAGCGTCAGGGATTGGGCTGCAGGTTTGGTGATTCAAGGCCCTTGCAGCAAAGGCGGTTTTTGCAGTCTTGCGATTTAGTGGCTTTCGGAGCTTCTCGATGCTCGGTAATGAAGACCAGATCCTTGGCCGGTTACTCAGACCAAAGTTTGCGGGCGACAGCACCACGACAACAAAAACCCTAAACCCCCAAACCCCAAACCCTAAGAGATCGAGTTAAGTGTAGTGGGCATATGCTGCGTGCAAAGGTTTAAGGCTCGGGTTGGGGGCTGATGGGGATTTAGAATAACTCTATTTCCTGAGTCTATAGCTGCAAACTTAAAATAACTTTATTTCCTGATTCTATAGCGTCAAACTTAAGCCTTGCGTCCGAATCCATCCTTTAAGCCCGAATCTGCAACCCTAACCCTGCCCCGACCTGAAGTGCTACAAAGGCCTTGAATGCCTGAACCTCAAAACTTCAACCGGTGATCCGCAGTGTCCGGGTTTAGGGTTTAGGGCTTCAGTTTTGGGCCTGATGGGGTTTAAGCGCCGTAAGTCCAAGTCCTTGAAGCCCAAATTTGAAACACTGAAACATTAAACCCCACGAGCTGAACCTACCCGGGCCCTCAAAACCAGAATCCTAAGGCTCCTATACCATGTGAAACCCTTCATCCCAAAAGCAGAGGCCTAAACACTCCAAACCTGAACCGAAATATGAAAACGAACTGGGATCCTAAACTTGAGCTCCGAAACCCGCAACCCAGACCCAAATTTCAAAAAACCGTCAGCTTGGCATAAAAAAGCAACTAGTAAACCTTGCACCCGAAATCCCGGCATATGTCCTGAAGCCCGGAAGCCCAACAGCCCGAAGTTGAAATTGAAAACCCACCGCAAAAACAAACAACAAAACAACGAAATCTTTAACCCTGAACCCCTAACCCGACGCGGAACTTGAAGCGACCTGCTGGCGTTGCAGTTGCATCACCAGTGGAACATGCTTGCTGCGGTGCCGGAGTTTCAGTATAGAGGTCTCAGTTGCGAACATGGGCACGCACAGGCTGGAGGACGAAAATACAACGAAGCCCGAAGCCGTGCCTCAACCCGGCGCCGCTTTGTAGAAAGAGCTGGATTCTGCACGCGGTCGGGCGTGGTTCATTAATAGTTCTTTTAAAAAGGTCGCTCGTATATAAGGCTCACTCAGAATCCACATACCGACATCGAACATCCCGAATGAACCTCGCACGCCCTGCCTGGACTCGGCTGGGTTTCGGCAGTGGCTACTGCACGCAGCCGGTTTTTTGCCAGGGTGGTTTGTTTGCGGTACGGGCCTGTCGGATGAGCCGCCCCCGGATCAAAGCGTTCCGGGCGTTCAGCTCCTGGGCTGCGGGCGGGGGGTGGGTTTCGATCTTAGCGGTCCGGTCTTCGACGGAGCAATTAAAAATGCGGTTTTTGTTGATTTTGGCTACAGTCAAGAGGCGACCAGCCTGGCTCGCATCATTCTGGGATCCGGCGGCCGCGGCACGCGGATGAAGGAATGCTAAATGAACTGATTTTCCACCACAGCACAGACTTCACCCTCCCGCAACGCTCGCTCATCTTCCATGGCACCCTACACCTGGTGAAAAATGCAAAACTATTGCACAAGCACCGGCTGAGCCTGAATATGACAGTTAGTGAAGCCCAATATGACAGTTGCCGAGCAAGCATTCCCATGGACAGAAAACACATCAGTTAAGGGACTTTCCGCTACTGTAAAAAATGTAGACCCCAAACCCATCACTTAGAAGGCCCTGGAATACAGCGGGCGGTGAGAGCGGTGGAAACGGTGGGAACGGTGAAAGCGGTGGAGGCACAGTGCAGGCGTGGCAGTAATGGAGATGGTGGGGGTGGTGGGGGTTGTGAGGGCGGTGAGGCGGTGGGGGCGGTGTGGGCGGTGTGGGCGGTGGGGGCGCGGGGGGGTCCGGGCATTGGCAGCCTTTAAATACTCTTTACTCTTTAAACACCTACAAATACAGCGGGCGGTGAGAGCGGTGGAGACGGTGGGAACGGTGAAAGCGGTGGAGGCACAGTGCAGGCGTGGCAGTAATGAAGATGGTGGGGGTGGTGGCGGTGGATGAAGGTGGTGGGGGTGGTGAGGCGGTGTGGGCGGTGGGGGCGGTGTGGGCGGTTGGGGGTGCGGGGGGGTCCGGGCACACATTGGCAGCCTTTAAATACTCTTTACTCTTTAAACACCCACAAATACAGCGGGCGGTCAGAGTGGTGGAGACGGTGGGAACGGTGAAAGCGGTGGAGGGACAGTGCAGGCGTGGCAGTAATGGAGATGGTGGGGGGGTGGCGGTGGATGAAGGTGGTGGGGGTGGTGAGGGCGGTGAGAGGCGGTGTTGGCGGTGGGGGCGGTGTGGGCGGTGTGGGCGGTGTGGGCGGTGGGGTGCGGGGGGGTCCGGGCACACATTGGCAGCTTTTAAATACTCTTTACTCTTTAACCACCTACAAATACAGCGGGCGGTGAGAGCGGTGGAGAAAGCGGTGGAGGCACAGTGCAAGGCGTGGCAGTAATGGAGATGGTGGGGGTGGTGGCGGTGGATGAAGGTGGTGGGGGTGGTGAGGGCGGTGAGGGCGGTGTGGGCGGTGGGGGTGCGGGGGGGTCCGGGCACACATTGGCAGCCTTTAAATACTCTTTACTCTTTAAAACACAGCGGGCGGTCAGAGCGGTGGAGACGGTGGGAACGGTGAAAGCGGTGGAGGCACAGTGCAGGCGTGGCAGTAATGGAGATGGTGGGGGTGGTGGCGGTGGATGAAGGTGGTGGGAGGGCGGTGAGGGCGGTGTGGGCGGTGTGGGCGGTGGGGGCGCGGGGGGGTCCGGGCACACATTGGCAGCCTTTAAATACTCTTTATTTTTTAAACACCTACAAATACAGCGGGCGGTGAGAGCGGTGGAGACGGTGGGAACGGTGAAAGCGGTGGAGGCACAGTGCAGGCGTGGCAGTAATGGAGATGGTGGGGGTGGTGGCGGTGGATGAAGGTGGTGGGGGTGGTGAGGGCGGTGGGGGCGGTGTGGGCGGTGGGGGCGCGGGGGGTCCGGGCCTTCTTTAACACTGGAGACACAGTGCAAGGCGTGGAAGTAATGGAGATGGTGGGGGTGGTGGCGGTGGATGAAGGTGGTGGGGGTGGTGAGGGCGGTGAGGGCGGTGTTGGCGGTGTGGGCGGTGGGGGTGCGGGGGGGTCCGGGCACACATTGGCAGCCTTTAAATACTCTTTACTCTTTAAACACCTACAAACACAGCGGGCGGTCAGAGCGGTGGAGACGGTGGGAACGGTGAAAGCGGTGGAGGCACAGTGCAGGCGTGGCAGTAATGGAGATGGTGGGGGTGGTGGCGGTGGATGAAGGTGGTGGGGGTGGTGAGGGCGGTGAGGGCGGTGTGGGCGGTGGGGGCGGTGTGGGCGGTGTGGGCGGTGTGGGCGGTGGGGGCGCGGGGGGGTCCGGGCACACATTGGCAGCTTTTAAATACTCTTTACTCTTTAAACAGGGCTCGAATCGCTCGTACAGGGGGAGAACATCTTGCCCCAGAACTTTTCGGGTGAAACCCGAGTTCGCTAACACCGCCATCAAGCCGCCATACTCACCAGCGTGGCATCGGAGGGCCCGACAGGTCCGATCCAAGGCAAGGAAGGCCTTGCGAGAACACAGGCCCTTGACAGGCCGTCAAGCTACACAGCTCGGTTGGCATCACGCCACCGCGCCACCTCTACAACGACGACTACGACAGCAAGCCGTTGCCATGGGCAAAAACGGCCGAGCGAAGTGGGGACAGGGCTACGACGACTACTCGGCCTACTCACAGCCCTCGCGATCTTCAGAGAAGAAGTGGCAACTCTGGGAGGGGGCATGGAGTCCGCAGTGGAGAGGGCAACAAGGCAAGTGGGAGGATCCCAAACCGGCCGCCTTTCCTGCCTACGACGACAAGTCAAGAGCCATCCAGCTCAAGGACCAAGGACAACCACGTGGTGGACAGTCAAGTACCACGGCACAGACGAAGGCAGACGACCCGGGAGCTGCTGTGACACAGGGCCTCCAGGACTGCATCAATGTCACCAGAAAGGCCGAACAACGGGTTCGCAGCCTCACGGCTACGCGACAGCAGAAGCAGAAACTCTGGACGGCCTATGTGGAAGATATGAAGAAGACCTGGCTACGGGAGTGTGCTCGCCACCAGAAAGACATGGACCGCCTCACCAACGACCTGAATGCCGCCTTGGAGGCACAGGAGCAAGCGCGGGCCAACTGCAGAGCAGTTGTCCTACGCGAGGAACATGGTCCTACACAGGCTGCGGAGCAGGAGACAGAGGAGGACCAAGCTTGGGATGCGATGATCGAGGAGTGGAAAGCCGAGCAAGCCGAAAGGGATACCGCTGGGGCGGTCCTGCAACGAGCTCTTGGCCATGGACCCTCTACCACCTCGGCACCCATATCGGCTCCTCTGACACATCAGGAGGAACCTTTCTCCACGCCGCCGCGGCGTCTTGGCAGCCTACCTCCGACTACGCCACCAGCACCCACTATGCCTGCATCTTCCCGACTGAGTGCGCAGAGCAGTCATGCCACGGCGGACCCCTATCAGATGTCCCCGAGCATGCAACAGCTAAGGGATCTCTTCATGCAAGCTGCAAGAGGTGCTCCAGTGGTCTTGCCACCGGAAATGTTGGAGGCCCATCAGGCCTCACCCAGGCAAAGGCCCAAACATCAGGAAGTCCGCCAACCGATCAAGAAACTCCCGACCGCGGTGCCTCACAGTACCTCACCTTCGGGAGGATTGAGCACCAAGCTTGCACAGAAGAGGGAACAATATCTGGCAATGGACAGCTCGGGGGAGAGACATGGTCGCATACCTGGACCGCCTGCCGAACCACCACCCGCAGCCCCTCCCGATATGACACCTACAGGAAGCAGGCCCATCCAGATCAACGACGACGACAATTCAGACGAAGACATGCCGACACCAGGGACAGCATCAACAGGTGTCGTCCCGAGGAGCTGATCAGGATTACTGCTATGTCAGGCGGTTGGCCCTGGCATGTCCCAGGATGTCGTCTAGAGGACCCAGCTTGTTCGGAAGAGAGGCAGAAGGGCTGCCATTCTCCTCCAACAGTGCACGAGTCCCCTGGGCAGACTACCCTGACACATGCCAGAGCTGCAGAGCCACACTGTGATGGGGTTTCACATAGTTGTAGCTCTGCTGTAGCACTGTACATACCAGTAGGCTGTCACCTGGACTCAGCCATGCCTTCCTCGCTGCCACTCCACGGCCCGTCATCCTCGGCCTCCATGCTACAGCACCTGGGTTTTGCTGTAAGTATGCCTGGCCCTCGCCATGCGGACCACTGCTCCATGACTGCATCAACAGGTCCTGCCCATCTCCTGCCATCTGCCCCACTGCATACGACAGCTGGCGTCCATACAGGGGGTTTTGATCACACATACGAGGCCTTTCTCGCATCTATAGGTTTTCGCGAAGTATCAGACTACATGGTGCCTAAGAGACACATCGGTGGCGCTGGGGTGTCCACCATGACGCTGCTGTTTCGCGGATTCCTTGATGCCTCGTTGTCCGCCCTTGCCAGCTTTTTGGTTCCGCTAGCTAGGGTTTTTTTGGGTTTGGTTTTCCTGGCTTTATGGAGCATACTGTGCCACAGCGTTCCAGCGAGATCCTCCAGAGCTCTTTGCATCCGCCGCTTTCTTTCATCACCTGGCCTCGGGGTTCCTGTTCAGGTTTTGAATGCATTGGGCGGTATCTCACGAAGCCTCCCGAGCTCGATTGCACCCGCCCTGTCGAGGACGACCAAGATTACAACTGCGACCGCCGAGGCTGCCCTGCCGCTCCTGGTGGACCATTGCCCTCTTATGCCTGCACAGTCTCCCAGTATGCATATGGGCAGCACCCACAGGATTGCCAACAACCACCGAATGTCCCAATGCTGCTCCGGTGCCGGAGGAGCTACCTGCAACATCTGCCGCCGAGTTTGCAACCAGTCATTCCGTCGGCCATGATCCGACATTGACCTGGCCTATGCCAGTCTCTGTCACGGGACCAAGGATTGTAGTTCCTGCCGCAGCTCCAGCTACACAGCTCCTGCTTGGGCACGGGACCGATGTTCAAGGGGACGACCCCCCCTTGAGCACCATCATCCATGCTCCATACTATCAGCCTGAAGCCTGGGCCTTGAGAGTAGGCCGCTCAGCAGCCTTGCAGGTTTCATTGACCATTTGGAAAGCCATTGCGGTCAGGCTTGTGACCATGGCCTGGATGCCTTTGTGCCCGCTTTCCCCCAGCGACACATAGGATATGCGGTTGTTCTTAAGTATCCCAAGGTTTTGGATCATGTAGGGTATGATAGAGGAGTCCCCGTCTTGGTTGACCTGAGCCATGTTGGAGGACACTATTATGCCACCGTCCTGCCGCGAAGGGCACCTTATGAGGAGCTTGAGGACTATGTCCGCCCGCAAACCAGTTACGGCTCAGAACCTTTTGAGTTCCACGTCGGCAGGAGGCCTGTTGCCTGGACAGTCGACGCTGACATCGTGCTTGCCCCTGGGGATGTCATCACTGTCGTGTCACATGGTCGTCCGGGTCCACACCTGCATGATATCGAAACTCTGTTTGCGCCGGACACTGTCTGGGGTTCTCCGGAGCACACCCCGCGAGCCATCTACACCCCTGGCCTTTGTGTGCTGCACAAGTCCGAAAGATTCATGCTGCACCAGCGCTTCTTCCCTCGACAAGAGGTGGTACCAGCTTTGGCACAAACCATACATGTTCCAGAAGATGCCTTTGTTCAAGCTGCAGTCCCACTTCCCAATCTCGATCTGCAAGGTGACCCGGCTTCTGTGCTGGTCGGGGTTGTCGACCTGCCAAGACAGGCCCTTGATGTGCCGACCTATGCAGGTCGTCGAGATGTGTTTACCTTCTGTGACTTGCGCCCGGTAGGCCGGCAACCGCAGCTTCATTTCTCGCACTCCCGAGTTTTGCACGTACCCACCCTCCTTGCGTTGTTTGCGGTGCGTGTACCTTCGGGCTACCACCTCGAAGTTGATGGAGCGCGGCAACAAGGTGATGAGATATACGTCCTGGACTGTGCCCTCATCACCTTTCGCCTCATTCCGGCCGAATCCAGTGACTCCTCAAGATCCCCCCGGGGAGACCGGCTATCTTCCACCGATCCTGAGGACACAGACAGCTCGGGCCCTGATTCTGACTCCCCAGACCCCAACCCGCCGCCTAATAGGGGTACTAGGCATAGAAATAAAAAGCTTAGAAGTGCAGACAGCACCGATGCCGTACACGAGCACAGAGCCGATGGCATCAATAGCAGGCAGGTCCAGTGGGGCGGTGTTCCGAGCGCTTACAGTATCCCAGCATCTGTTGAGGACTGCATTACGATGATTTGCACGCCTTTCTTCCCGGGACGACACCGCCAAAAAGCTTCTCTTTTTTGGACCACTGACGAAGTATACGACTTCTTGGCCCATGTCAGTGACACATGCCATATTGAAGCCTGCCATGCAGCAGCAAGCTCGAAGAGCCAACCGATCACGTGCTATGGAGACTTTCGGGATAGGGGATGTCATTTTCGTCGCGCTGTTGACGATGCGCAGACCAATCCATGGGGTTTTCGAGATCCGGGCGACCGTACCCCGGTAGGCCCCGAACCCCCAGTCTGGACCGTCCCCCGCCCTCAGGGTTTTCAGGCCATCCCGCAGACAGGTTTTGCGCGAGCCCTTTTCCTAGTCTTCACTCCGGAGTACACTCCCGACCCCGTCGGGGTGACGATTCACATGCCATGTCACGAAAGCTAGCTCTGTGGAGCTCGCGGGAGTTGCCCTTTAGCAATTCACTTGTATTAAGGCACTAGGGAAAAAACAGGGTTTGCACCTTATCAGGTGGGACGTCCAAGAGTTAAGGTGGGGGGTGGGGGGGGGCCCCCCCCCCCCTTCACCTTGTCATTATGCGTTTTCCACTGATAAGGTGCGCTTCCCTCCCCCCCCCTCCTTCCTTTAAGGTGGTTGTGCCTGGGATAAGGTGGGGGGGGGGGGCCCCCCCCCATCATGAGGTCCCCCCCCCCCCCCCCTCCTCAAGGTCCCTTGGTTTTGTTTGTGTCTGACGTTCGGCGACTGAAGTGCGGTCTTCTCTCCAGAGTTACCTCTAGTTGTCGTTCGCACATTACTTTCTCAAGAGTTAAATGAACGAGCAACGCCTGCACCCTTCACCGGCCCAAACTTTCCCTCCGCTACTGTCGTGCACATCGCTTTGCAGAGCTCAGCACCGGACCTCGTGCTTCTAGCTTTCGTGACCAGCTCTCAAGTGAAGTTCCGTATGCCTTGGCATCCGTTGCTACACATCGGAGAGAAGACCACCAACAGTGGTTCCCTCGCTTGGTTCCTGTGCACCCGCAGCCCTGCCTTCAGTTTGCGTGTCTAGTCGGCCTACCGGACTGGTCGACTCCTTCACCGGTTGTCCTGCTGGATTGTACTCGCTGCAATGGCACCATGTTCAGTGTACTTGCGCCATCCCAGGTCACAAGTGGAGACTTGCTCAGGCTGGCAGGTCTAACGCTTTCGCCTGGAGTCCAAGTGTATGTTCAGGACAATGCCGTCCCAGTGCAACCATTGCAGCCCGTCACCTTGGCCCATGAATGCTCGTTACCTTTTCTCCTCAGGCGGTTCAAGGGGGAGTTCGACATCGACATGCTACAGAATGCTCAGCATTGGAATGCTGATGCCGACATTCCAGTACCACCAGGTGCATTTCATCGCCTGCTCACCGATCATGGCACTTTGTGTCGAGCTGCCGACCCAACCGGACAGGTTTCCCTCCATCGAGATGTTGCAAGATGTTTGCAGGTGACTCCTTCGCTCCTGACACTTTGGCCTTCGCAGCCTCGCATTTCAGATCTGTTTGATGGAGGCAGACTCGTCCAGGGAGTCTCTGTTGCCACATGCCAGTTCCCCAGGCCGCCTCCTCAAGGATCACACGCGTCCGTATACTTTCTCGACATGCGCCCTACTCTGCGCACCATTTGCTGGCAGGTTGCACCGTTTGGCTACGTGTACCGAGATGAACTCGAGCAGCGCGTCCTCCCGTCCCTACCTCAGGGCTTGGTGCCCCTCATCACGGGTGGGCACCTTACACTCCGTGAGCACAGAGAAGTCTTTGAGCTTGTCAGTGGGCAGGTTTTGACGGTTGCTGTTCAAGTTGTCGGGCTTTCCCCTGTTGCGGAACATGACTCCTCATCGTCGTCATCCCCTTCCGATCAGGAGCCGGACAGTGACGCGTCGGATGCCGATCCAGATGATGCACCCACACCACACAGGAGTTCCACGCCTGCCGGACCACCTCCGCCTCAGCCAGTGAACCACCCTCTACCAGGAACAGGTGGAGCCCGGCAGGGCCACACATGGGCGTCGTCATTTGCATCTGCCTTGCTTGGCATGGGTCGCAGCCTCACGTGGACGAGCACTTTACTACTTGCCGCCTGTGCTCCAGGCAAGTGCTTTGACACCTCTGTCGCTCCCTTTGTGCTTGTGTTAGGCTGGCAATGTCGTAGCCTATGGCAGTCTTCGGCTTCATCGTCTTATGGTCCTTGTTGCCATTGCTCGGGGGCGTACACCAGATGGCCCCTCCGCTTAGGTGGTCTCCATACCATCCTCATATGCACCGTGCTAGCTGCCCAGGTCCTCCCGACCAGTGCCATGCAGACCAAGCCATATGAGAGGCGAACTTGGATCCAGCCCACCGACCGCGAGCACCCTGCTTTGACTTCGTGCACTGCCACAGCGGCCCCAGAGCGTGTGCGGTTGCTACCACCAGCTGACCGTGCATATGCGTCGACCATCATTCCCACACCATGCCGTGCCTTTCGCAACCACGCCACCACCTGGACCAGTGGCGATGTGGCCAACTATCTAGTCTGCGGACCTACTCTTCTAGAGGAATGCATTATGCATACGCAACAGCCTCTTTTTGAGGCCTGGACCCTGCTAGAAACACTGTCGGAACACATCCAGATCAACACCAGTGTTCCCTGTGTCCCACCATCCCCTTTGTCCCTGAGTGACAAAGTCCCAATGACCAGCTACCAAGCGGACTGCCTGTCCCTTGAACAGCTCTTGCCGCATAGTCAACCAACAGTCCCGCATGATGAAGACTGGCTGGATACAGATCTTCAAGCAGTTCTGTCCAACCCAGACGTTTGCTTAGAATTTCGCCAGGCTTTTTCCAGTCTCATCACGTGGCACCGTGCTGACCGTCCAGCCCCGGATGCGCTTGACATTTATACGGATGGATCTGCATCCAATAATGACCTGTGCGTGCAACCCGGTTCCTGGGCGTTTGTTGTCTTTGCACGCCATAGGGACCAACGCTTTTTTGTCGGCGGAGCAGCGGCCACCACCGTGCCTCCAGACCTCCCGCACCATCTTGGGGAGATCAAAGAGGATGCCATGACAGGTGAACTCCTGGCTCTTTGCTGGAGCTTGGCCTGGGTCGCACAGACTGGTCATAGCTTTGGAGTGCCTGTACATTTTCACTACGACTCCACCAGTGCCGGCGGAGGGGTCTTTGGGCTCACCACAGCACCGACAGGTGGTCTGGATGGGACCTACGAGCCGCTTTCGAAACTGGCCCTCACCCTCCGACACTATGCTAGCTCCAGAGTTGAGCTCCATCATCACCATGTTCCAGGACATTCTGGATATCTCGGTAACGAGCTTGCAGATGCATTGGCCAGGACAGCCCGCAAACATTTTGTTCCGTACGACCAGCGTGTTCTGCCCACATGGCCGTCCCAGCTTGCACATCACCCCTTGCGTGCATGGGCGTGGGCCTTTCTACCAGGCTTCATAGATATGCCACGTCCCTACACCTTTGGAGTGGAGGCCGACTTGGCGCAGCGCCATGCCCATCGAGCCGCTACTGCCCCTCAACAGGGCATCAGAGACGTGACCATCCCTGAGGCAGAAGTCCTCTATGACATCACAGCGATAAGCTTCAACGCGCTCACCCTGCGTGACCCCAAGACCAAGCGTGCATCAGCCACTGCGACCGGTTTGCGCATTGCTGGGCGCAAGGAGGTGCTAAAGACATCTCTCGCAGCTCACCAACCACACATCATAGGCCTACAGGAGACACGTTTGCCGGCCTCCGATATGCAGCCAGATGATGCATGCTGGATATACAATGCAGCGGCTGATTCCAGTGGAGTTGGAGGCTGCTCACTTTGGCTGGCCAGGCGTCTTGCATATGCCACCGCTCGAGGGCGGGAGGTCTGCTTCCAGGAGTCAGACGTCACAGTCGTCAGTACATCCCCTAGGCACCTCACGGCCAATGTTCTTTCTGATTATGCCAGATTGCACTTCTGCGCACAATATTCCTCTGAGTGAGATCCGCCTCTTCTGGGCCAAGCGGATCCAGGAGCTTGCTGCCAGACCCAAGGGTGCCGACTACCTTATCCTTTGTGATTCTAATGCCCGTGTAGGCACTGTGGAATCCTGCTATGTAGGAGCCTGCAACTCGGAGTCTGAGAACCCAGCCGGAGCCCTGTTTCATGAGTTTTTGTCCTCAGCCGAAGCCCTGGCACCAGCAACATTTGAGGCGTACCACTCAGGTCCGGGAGGCACATGGTGTTCGCCTTTCGGCCAGTGGGCACGTCTAGACTATGTACTGGTCCCAAGTTCTTGGGGGTCGTTCGACATAACCTCTAAAGTTCTATACGATGTGGAGGTGCTCCAGAAACGGGACGACCATGTCCCAGTCTTCCTCAGATGCAGATTTGCAAGGTGGCAACCAAAGTCCTCTTACTCTGCCAATCGTCGGCGAGCGGTTCGACCGCCAGCACCGACCGACAGTGCAGCCCGATTGGAAGTTCGCCAACACCTTAATACCTGCACCGCAGTGCCCTGGGGAGCTGGTGTCGATGAGCACTATGCCCACTTAGCGGCACATTGGAGGACTGCTGCTGAACAGCTCTCGTCTCCAGCTACTGAGCCTCCTCGACAGCCTTTCTTGACACAGACCACTCTGGACCAGGTAAGATATCGGTCTGCCCTCCGAGCTTACTTACGGTCTGAAACCCAGGAACGCCACAGGCGCTTGTGTCTCATTGCCTTTGCTGCTTTCCTGCACCATAAGGCAGGCACCAGCTTCACTCCCACGACCCGCGAGCGCGCAGAGGTCTGGTTGCGTCAGCTTGACTACAGTGAGGCGCGGGCACTCCATGCGCTCCATGTTTCCACCAGCGTCATTCGACGGGCGGTTGCCCAGGACCGTCATAATTATCTGGCCGGCTTAGCTGAAGTCGCAGCAACCAAAGACCTCAGTGACCCTGCCGAGTTGTATAAAGCCATCAGACGAGCTTTCCCACAAGCACAAGCCTCTCGGCGCAGTTCCCATAAGCCCCTCCCGGCCCTAATGCTTGAAGAGGGGCGACCGGCCCTTACCACTCACGAGCGCGCAGAAGGTTGGAGGTCCCATTTCGAGAGACAGGAGGCAGGCAGCAAGGTCACACCCGAAGAGTACTTGAACCTCCTCAAGGAGCGCACTCGCCGCGCGCCATGGACCTTTGACATTCATGCAGTGCCAGACCTTTGCTTGCTTGAGAGTCTGACCCACTCACTCAAGAGGCACAAGGCGGCGGGGCCTGACGGCATTACTGCAGAGGTGCTACGCTTAGATGTAGCCACGACCGCGCGTCAGCTACTTCCTATCCTAGCGAAAGCTGCCATCCGCGCTTTTGAACCCGTTCCTTTCAGGGGCGGAGATTTGGTGCTCTTGGCCAAACGAGCCTCCCATATCCTTGGCTGCGAGGGATATCGGTCAGTGCTCGTGTCGTCGGTTCCAGGGAAGCTCTATCACAAGTGTCTCCGACGACAGCTCTTGCCCGCTTTTTGCGGCAGCAAGACTCCTTTTCATGCTGGTATCTTGCCCGGCCAGGGCATAGAGCTCATCTCCCTCACGGCAAAAACATTTTTTGCCCTCAGCAACTCGCCCAAAGCCTCCAAGGCATCTCTGGTGTTTTTCGATTTGAAAGCTGCCTTCTATCAGACTGTGAGACAACTGCTCGTCGACACCGACACCGGTGATGCCGAATTGCTACAACTGTTTGCCCGCATGCAGCTGCCCCAAGCAGCCATTGTCGAGCTTAAACAAAAGCTAGTGAGCATCACCACCCTCGAGCAATGCCAAGTCTCGAGTCACACCAGAGCCCTCATCTCGGACTTGTTCACGGGAAGTTGGTTCAGGTTGTCGTCCTTCAGCGAGCTAACGGTTACGCGACGGGGCACCCGTCCAAGGGATCCAGCTGCCGATCTGTTGTTTGCTTTCTCGTTGTCTGCTTATATGCGCTCAGCTACCACTGCACTAGAGGCTCAGGACCTTTTAGCGGAGCTGCCAGGCCCCGGAGAGCGACCACCCTATCTGCAGCATCAGGGACCCGTGCAACTGCAGTGCCCTGCTTGGGCTGACGATTTCTTCTTTCCCCAGACAGGACCCACTGTGCCAGCTCTCCTTGATCGCACACAACGTGCAGTCAGTTTGCTGGTGACTCATGCTTCGTCGTTAGGCATGACTGTCAAGGCAGGTGAGGACAAAACAGCCCTCCTTCTACCTCCTGGTGAGGCTCATAACGAACATGAGCTCCTCCACACTGGTCCGGAAGGCAAACTTGTACTACCGGTCGTCGATGACACCACCGCACAGCGCCTGGATGTACCCGTCGTCCAGGCCTACAAACACCTTGGGGGAGTCCTCACAGCTAACCAGCACCCTGCGCCGGATTTGCATTATCGCTATTCGCGCAGTATGGGTATGATAAAGCCTTTGCGCCGCCGGCTCTTCGGAGCACAGTGCTACGACATGGCCGTTCGCAGAAGCTTGCTCAGGGCCTTATCAGTGTCCAGATACGTCCACACGGCTGCAGCCTTGGTTCTACCTGCAGCTGTTCACCGGCGTCTCTGGGAGAGACAATATGTCTCTCTCTGGCGAGTCCTGCTTGCTCGCACAGCTGTCGATGCGCCTCCACATAGCTACGCGGTTTTGCTTGCTGCCAGAGCTCCTCCTCCCAATCTGGCAATCGCGGACGCAAGAGCACTGTGCCTGCAAAAACTGTTCCGACAGGGCCCTCAGGAATTGCTTGCCTTTCTGTATGATCACTGGTGTCTCGTACCCAGGACTTCCTGGCTACGACAACTTGAGGATGACATACGTTCCGTCGCTGTCTTCGTCCCCGGTGTCAAGGACTGCCTGCCATCCCATCAGTCTGTGCTCGCCCTCCTAGAGGCTCATGAGTCAGACGTGTACTGGTGGCGCAAACAAGTAGCCAGGGCCACCAAGCAGTTCCTCCAGGACGCGGAGGCTTGGCAGGAGGAACGCAAGGCAGGTAAGCTGCCTGTCAGGGTTGGTCCTGCTGACGGGTCAGACCAGGAATACCAGTGCTACTTGTGTGACAGTTCCTTCCCGCTCAGGAAGCACTTGCACGTGCACCTTGCCAGAACGCACAGGATTTACAGCCCGGCCAGGCACTATGCAATCAGTGAGGTTTGCACGTCCTGTTTGCGGGTCTACCCAGATGTTGTGCAAGCACAACAACACTTGAAGCACTCCACCGAGTGTCTTCGACGAGCCCTCTACGTGCACAGACCGCTCACTTATGACGAAATTCTGGCGCTCGAGCAACCAGTGCGGACCCATCATCAGCGCCTGCGTGCCGGCAAGTGGCAACAGTTCAGCTGTCGAGGTCCTCCGCGTCGTGCTCCCAGCATTTTTGGGCCGCGAGCGCCCACAGCAGAAGAACGCCTCCATGGACTTGAGGACGATGATGATACACCCATCAGCCACTTTGGCCACCTCTTCCATCCTACTGCTAGCCATGTAGTCTGGGTCCAGGATTACTTGAGCCGGCGTAGTACAGAGGGTCCTCGGCAGTCCGCACAGTCTTTTTGGATGGCCAGACCGTTTCACACTGAATTCGTTTAGCCCTTTTTGTGATGCGCTGCCCCGTGCTGTAACACACAGCCTGCAGCCCGACGATCAGACTCCAATCCAATCCAATCCCTTTACTCTTTAAACACCCACAAATACAGCGCGGTGGAGACGGTGGGAACGGTGAAAGCGGTGGAGGCACAGTGCAGGCGTGGCAGTAATGGAGATGGTGGGGGTGGTGGCGGTGGATGAAGGTGGTGCCCCGTCCGGGCACACATTGGCAGCCTTTAAATACTCTTTACTCTTTAATTAAACACCTACAAATACAGCGGGCTGTGGGAGCGGTGGAGACGGTGTGGGAACGGTGAAAGCGGTGGAGTGGCAGTAATGGAGATGGTGGGGGTGGTGGCGGTGGATGAAGGTGGTGGGGGTGGTGAGGGCGGTGAGGGCGGTGGGGGCGGTGGGGGCGGTGTGGGCGGTGGGGGCGCGGGGGGGTCCGGGCACACATTGGCAGCCTTTAAATACTCTTTACTCTTTAAACACCTACAAATACAGCGGGCGGTGAGAGCGGTGGAGACGGTGGGAACGGTGAAAGCGGTGGAGGCACAATGCGGGCGTGGCAGTAATGGAGATGGTGGGGGTGGTGGCGGTGGATGAAGGTGGTGGGGGTGGTGAGGGCGGTGAGGGCGGTGTGGGCGGTGGGGGCGGTGTGGGCGGTGTGGGCGGTGGGGGCGCGGGGGGGTCCGGGCACACATTGGCATCCTTTAAATACTCTTTACTTTTTAAACACCTACAAATACAGCGGGCGGTGAGAGCGGTGGAGACGGTGGGAACGGTGAAAGCGGTGAAGGCACAGTGCAGGCGTGGCAGTAATGGAGATGGTGGGGATGGTGGCGGTGGATGAAGGTGGTGGGGGTGGTGAGGGCGGTGAGGGCGGTGTGGGCGGTGGGGGCAGTGGGGGCGCGGAGAGGTCCGGGCACACATTGGCAGCCTTTAACTTTAAATACTCTTTAAACACCTACAAATACAGCGGTGAAAGACTAATTGAACAGAGCGGTGGAAGCGGTGTGGGTGCGGACACCTCTCGGGATATCACGGGCGCCGCCCGCAGGGGTCGGCGGATAGCTGTAAGAATTTAGCAATAAAGTAACGTGTCGGTGGGGCGGGGCGGCGGTGCCTAGAGGCGACCTCGGGCAGACCGCCTTCAGCGAAGCCACCTGCCGTGACGTGGCGAAAGTACAGAGAAGCGAGGGCCTGGACCTGGGCGTGCTGCTAGGCCAGGCCCCCAGGGCCCCAGGTGTCACAGCAAGTGCTCTCAGGAATGGTTTAGAGTTTTGGGCCTGGGTCGGTTGGACGGTTTGGACCTACTAGTTTCCACAGCCCGAATCACTCCACGTACTTCCCCGTTGTCTGAAACCACAGCCAAAGATCTGTGGAACAGCGACTCCCTGAAGGAGATCTATCCTATGCCGATACGGATGCCACCAGGCCGCGGCCACGCCACCAAAGCATCACATGTGGTCAAGACTTGCAATCCCTTCTTGTACTCTCCACCCGGACTCCTAAAACCACCTAAACCCCAGAAGGTGGGACTCGTTTCAGCGCTTGTTCGACGAGTCCGGATGCGCCGACATCCCTTGGGTGGTGCTTCCCGGAAATCATGACGGCCGGAAGCTTTCTGGGTTCTGCACATTCCAGGTTTTCTTCAGCCTTTTGCCAGCGTTTGGCAATGAAATTTTCTTCTAAATAACTGCCCGATCTCTTGCGCGCACATTCATGTTGATGACGAGTTTTGAGTCCGGACAGGCACAATAATTCAGAACCACCCCTAAATGTTGTGATTCAGGACTTCTGGTTTCTTCGCATTGAACCCTGGCCGTGTCTCTGCATATACGGTTGACGAAGTACTGACATTCCGGTATATTCGAAGCACTTGCCCTGGACTTCACATCATCGACTTAGTGCTCTTTTTGCGGTATCTTCAGCTTGCTTTGCATCAGTAGATACGTGATGCACGCTTCTACAGTGGACACTGTTCTGTGACCACCCGAAACCAGACTGGCCTACCCGGACCTAAGATAACGTTATTCTGTGGTCGCGCGCCTGTTGTACGTGGGGATGCCGTCTGCAACGCATGATAGCAGCATGATCCGCGCTAACGTGTTTTGGCTAAAGTCATTTTGGTGGTTTGTTGTTCTCTCGGTACAGTAGGGTTTCTCCGAAGAGAGCGTTACAGCTTTTCACTGAATAGGAGGTCTTTCGTAAAGCTGTCCGTTCATATTGTGCAGTACAGTTCATCTTCTTCGCCGTGCAGTGTGCTAGTCTCAGCCTGCCACGCTAAACCACGCAAGGAAATATCGTGCCACACAACATCGGTCAGTGCATGTCCCAGAATGCTGCCCTTGTCATATTCAAGGTCACGGTACCGCATGACAGGCTGCACCAAAACGAATCACGTGGTCATTCACGTGCTGTTCTTTATCATCCTCGGTATTGCTGTGACTGTGACAGGCTGCATGCATGCTTGGCAACATGCTACATGATGCAGATAGAAACGGTTTGAGGAAGTTCTTGAAGTCCGATTTCGGCCCAATTTCTCATAAGGTGGGCTCGATCTGCTCTTCCAGCCTTTCCGTATGCCTATCCAGTTTTTGCATCTTCCTTCGTCTCTCCCTGGACCCCCGACTTTCTCTCTCCCTCTCATGCTCTCTCTCGCTCTGTCGCCCTCGCTCTACCCGCAGGAAATCGAGCCCGATGAGATCACAGGTGTGCACCTTTGAAGTTGAGATCGAGACGATGTCATCTTCGGTCACTTCTGGGGATGCTTTGAGATCCTTCGGATGGACCGGAGGGTCAAGGTCTTCCGTGCTCCACTGGTGTTCACGTCGCTTCTTTAGAGATTCGCCACCGTGGTCCAGAACCCATGCATCGATTGCAAGAGAAGAAGATGTCAGCACCAGCAAGGCGAATGCATTGCAGGCAGCCACTTGACACTGCGGGAACAGAGCACTCCACGCCACGTCCCCGAACGACAACTTGAAAAGGTTTCCCTTGCACAACAGTCGCATATTTCGGACGCCGCCCTCTTGTTTGTGTTGCAGGTGAACCGTTCCTGCCTTTTCGCAGCCGCTGGCGGACTCCACAGTCCAGGGAAGCCGCGGTCTCCGTGCCACCGGAGGCCGGAATTGGCCGGGATGAAAGGCTGTTGAGGTCGGTCCCCATCATGTGCAAACGCTGCTTTGCATCACGACGAAACAGAATACATGCACGCAAGCATAGTGCGCGAGCCCAACAAAGTGCAGGACGCATGGCAGGGCTGGTTGACCTACGATTTTCCAAGCATGAGCTTCGACTTTGGGAGCTCCTTCTTCTCTTTGGAGGCCAGGTTCTCGACGGCTTTTGGTGCCTGGGAGCGGATGCAATGGCATGAGCATGAGGCATCACAAGCTCGTGGTTGCGTGTAGCCAGTGGACGGCCAAAGCAGAAAGCAGATTTTCAACCCAAGTGATACTTGTACAACTTCCCCGCCGTGCCCCTAACGGCAGGTCGGATGCGCTCACTTGCTGGTGCTGAACCCGCACCGTGGCTTTCACAGTGGCCTCATCGTCCAACGAATTCCGCTCATTTCTACGCTGGTGCCAATCGCAAGACGATTGCGATAGTCGCGCTCCAATAGTGCACTAATGTAGAACACAAGTGTCTTGAGTGCAAGCATGTGTTCTCACCACCTTGACGCTCGTTTCTTTCTCGCTCCAGAAACAGGCTTAGGTAATTCCTAACTCCTGGCAGGGGTTGAAGGTGTTCAGATTACATTGTCGGCGTGCATCGTGACCTTGTTTCATGTCTCTTTCCAACTGATGCCTGGACATCGTGATGCAAAGGACAAATGCTCATGCTTGATGAGGGAAACCATGCACTCGACACCTTTCTACCCCTCGCGGAGTTAGATGTTGGTCATGTTCTCGTTGCCGGCAAACGCATGCAAACGCTGAGAGCACCTGGTAAACAACTGAACGGCTGATATACGTCTTATCACGTCTTCTCCAGACTCACCCTGGTCAACCCAGGGGGAGGGCGTGGACCCTGGAACGGCTTCGACTCACTTTCATTCCGAGCTTGGCACAGTTTGACGGGCCGCTGACTTTCAGTGTATAGCATGCCAACTATCAAGCACAAGCTTCTGTCCGTTACTCCACGCGCTGTTGGCTTAGCATCTCTGGCGTTGAGGAGGGTAAGCCTACGTGTCTTGGCCGTTTCTCATTCGGGGCTCCGAGCCCGGGCATCTGGGCGTCCCATCTCAACTTTGCCCGAAGTTCGCAAGCCCGAAAATAAAACAGTCAGCCCGCGGCATGTCTTGGGACTCTTCAACCGAAGTTGGCGCTTATTGGCGTCGTTTACAGACCACGCAGTATACTTGTTGCATCATCAAGTGATTTGGTGGCTAGCACTACGATTGTGATTGTAACTACTGCTACGACTCCGTGTTTTGCTGTGCTTCACTTGCAGACTGCACTCAAAGGTACACGGACGCTTCGCCGAGCTCACCTCAGATCACCTGGCTCCAAAGCGAGCTGAAACGCATCAACCGCTCGAAGACGGAACACGTCGCGGTGCCCAGGCTACAGTAACAACACGGCTACAACTGAGATGCAGCAGTCTATTTATCTAGGAGCAGACAATGCTCGATCTGCACTCTGGAAATATAGGAGGCCATACCGTACATACCCTCCATGTTTGTGAATTATGGTTGCATTTCCACGACTGAATTTCTGTACTTCTCATCGAAGCCAGTCAGATTCTGGTTACAAGAGGTGCTAACACATGCGCCGTGGCAGCATTCCTCGCGTGCGCACCGGCCGGAAATGGAGGCGCGCTATGGCGGGGGGCGGTTTGTGGCAGGGGCGTCGTCCGGATGAATTCGAAGTGCCAGTTGCATGCCTTGCGTGCTCAAGAAACCTTGGCGAGAGAGTGCTCCGACGGTTTCCCGGCTCTGATTTCGAACACTTTGTTTTCAGATCTGACCACTGGTTATTGCTGGTTTGTACAGGCGGCAACACGCAATCTCCTCTCAGCGGCTGGGCCTTTGCTGCTGCCAGACAAGCGTCTCCTCAGCAATTGCTCTATGGTGTGCTTCTCACATAGTGTGAGTGCTGCAAAAGCGCCAAGAGCACTGCAAAGAACGAGGATAGACTTGGTCTTCTCTGGCCACGTCCACGCCTTCGAGCGGTCCTTGCCAATGGACGGAGTGCAGCACTTCGTAGTGGGCCACGGTGGCAACATGGTGCGCCTGCTCCCGGGGAGGGTGACATGCATTAGTCAGCCACGCCAGTATACTGTGGGTTCCTTGGGGGTGCCAAGTGTCGGGAAGCAGTGCGCATCCAGCCAGGGGGGTTCTAGAGCTAATCCTTGGAACTTTGGTGTGAGATGCCCCCGCGACCGACGAGCAGGAAGGACTTTACGACAACTGGCTGCCTAGCAGCACATCAGCGTGTCTCGGCTGAACGCATGCCGATCGCAGGTGGAGTCTCTAGGCTTCTCCCGTACAAGCTGTTCAAGCTTGTCTTGGTTGTTGAAGGGCTTTTCCATGCGAGGATTCGCTGCAGTGATGTACAAGTCTTTCTACGCGAGATTCACGGCACGGGTGCTTTATTCGAGCCAGCCCCGGTGCAGATGAGGGCTGTGCTCTTGACCCACGAGTTGGGAAGACGCAGCAATACATGTTCCCGTTCTTTGAGGGTCCAAATACGCTTCAGGTTTCATGCTGGAGATCACTACGGCTGGGGAGCAGCTCGGATGAATTCGACAGGGGCCTGATCATTTTCTGTTGTCTGCAAGGTATCTAGACTAACGCAGCTGTATATGTAGAGCCTCTAGCTGGAGCATGCATGCAGAGTTCGTACAGGCGTGAGCACAAACACAGCCAAAGACAGCAAGCAAGCACTGACGCACGAAGGCACGCGAACACTCTCACTCACTCTATCTCGCATGCTATGCCCAGCCTGGCATAGACTTACAGAAAGGCAACCGCAAAGTATGGAAGGATGCAGACCTCTTGCAGCATTGCGCAGATAGCAGCTGTATTGTCCCGACTGCAGGGGGGCTCTGTCTGTAGCTTTACCCAAGCGACCCTCGCCTGCCGCCGAGCTACTCCACCTTCGCCCTCGGCGGCTCGGTCCATCCACCTTCAACGCGCGCCGTGGTGCGGATGGTGCCCTGCAAGGATCTTGAGATTGGCGTGCATGCCCGATGGCGAATCTCTCCAGCATGCATCAGTCGGAGGTGCCGTGATGGATGCCGTCGAGTTCTGGCCTCGCGACTTGAGATCCTCGCAGCCCAGCAAAGACAACCAAGGCCGTAAAAACCAAGTGAAAACTGCATTGACGCCTGGAATTGCCTGTCAGAAGCTCCATGGGCTTCGCCAGGTGCTGGAGCTCCTGAGCCTGGCCTTCTGGGCGCAACCTTCGCCGCGTGCGGCCTGGCAGCAACAAGAGAGAGGAAGCTGTCTCCGTAGCTCCGGGTCAGAAATCAGATCCGCAGTGCCAAGGCCTGGTAGTCTGCTGCTTGGCTTATCTGGTGCTCCCCTGGCCTGGCACGGCGTCTGTATGAAAATGCTGCACTTTCGGTTCCGTGGATGTGCTCGCATCCTTTGGACGTCTGTCGTGTCTGAGGTCTCTGTGCCTGCTTCTACCGGCGTGCCCGTGTCCGGGCTAGGTACGAAGAGGAAAGCTCCCTGCGAAGGGAAGCTGCGACGATCGGAGTCATGGGCTGAGGAAAAAGGCGAAGTTTTCCACGCAGGAAGGTCAGAAGTTTTCTGGCTAAGCCAAGCAGGAGCAGAGAGGAGAGGAGCAGAGCTTGAGCCGATCCCTTCGTTGGAGCCTCGACAGGCTGAGGAGGGCGAGGCCGAGTTCCTGGCGATAGAGTTCGAATGCGTTTCCAATATTTTTGCGCTGGATCGTCAAGCACATCCTTACACCGCCTGCATTCTCGCTTTGGATACCGTTCGTCTTTTCTAGGATGGTGCAGAGTCGTGCTCCTTTTCGCTGTCTCGGGTCACAGGCCGCCGTGGTCACTGTCGCTTTCTCAGAGACCGTTTCATCACGTTTGCAGTGTTTTGCTCCTGCTCCTTTTCCTCCAACGCCGCGGCAAGACGCCATGGGAAACCTATTAGCCCAGAGCGCTTCCATCGCCCAGGGCGACTCAGAGGCCGAGGCGATCTTCCGCGAGGCCTACGAAGCCGAGGCCACACCACCGTCCGGGTGTTTCGCAGAGCTTCTGAAATCTCAAAGCTCAGAGAAGTTCACCGCACTAGCGCTCGGACAGGCGGAGAGGGCGAAGCTCTTGAGCAAGCAAGTGGAGGCGGGCAGGTCGCATGGAGGATGAAGGACCGTGTTTTGGTTCGCAGAATCAAGCAGCTTCATTTGCAGTTCGTGGACCTGGGGCCTGGGGTGTCAAGCTTCGGTTTCTTCAGGGCAGCATTCGGATCTTTGGGCCCACTTCCAGGCTGCACTGGCAGAGCAATTGGGCGCCCCAGAAGGCCATGGATGTGCCGACATTGGTGGTGGGCTCTGCTTATCAGAGGGTTGTGGGATTCGTTGATATCGGCGTGTCGGTGTCTGCAACTTTGTTCGCGCAGCTTGGGCTGATCTTGGAGGAGGTTGACACACACACACACACAGACTCTCTCTCTTCTGCGTCTCTCGTGTCCACAGCTTTGGAGCTCGGGTCTCAACGTTGGAGCGTCCGAGCGCAGGCATCAAAATCAATGTGGAGGCCGACGGGCATCCGCATGCACTGGCATGCGTCCTTCGAGAGGAAGAGATGCGTCCTTCGGAGAGACGGACAGAAGTCACAGCCTTGGGCCCCGGCCAGGCCCCAGCAGCGCCAGCTCCGGGTGAGCCCGGGGGGTCAACTTGGCGTTTTGCCTACGAGGCCATGTCGGGAATGCCGGGTTTGAGAGGAGAGGTCCCCTATGTTCCCTAGGCTGTGTCTAGCAGATTTCTAAGAACAGCTGAAGATCAGCATCTTTTCTCGAAGTTTACAATCAAGCTCGTTCCGCATCAGGAGAGATGTTTCTGGTGCAAAGAGGGGATTACACATATGGAGGAAGAACTTGATCGCGCGACGGGTTCGCTATTACGGCAGATGACTTGAAACGGATAAGTCACCCGAGACACTGGCACAAAGCTGAAATTACGGATGAGCACTTTGTCGATCTTTGGCCAAGTCGCTCTTCGGCCAAGACAGGCTGTGAAAAAGCGCACAGCCTCCTTGGAGGGCCAGCTGGAAAAGGCCCGCCGCCGGGTGGCTCAGAATGTCGGGTTTTCGCGCTTGAGGGCAGGGCAGACGCGTTCAAGAAGGGCAGCACGACATGTAGATGGGGATGGGGGGCCCTGCAAAGAGAACTCTTGGCTGCTCCAAATGTGCTTGATTCAGCGCTGCCGGGGTGGAATCTCTTTCTTGCAAGCTGTAAGCCGCATTGCGCAACGCAGCGCTCCCAAAATCCTGAGCTCACAGATCACCGAGCCGGAATCTTCTTGTTCCTTCTCAGCTCAAAAGTTCAGCTGGTCATGAAAAAAAAGAACAGAGTTCATGTCCACGTTTGGTTTCGTCTCTAGCTTGATGAGCAGCGTTCCGTGCAGTAGTGCAAGCAGGCTGAAGTCACAGGTGCAGCAGGACCTCAAAAGTTCAGCTGGTCATGAAAAAAAAGAACAGAGTTCATGTCCACGTTTGGTTTCGTCTCTAGCTTGATGAGCAGCGTTCCGTGCAGTAGTGCAAGCAGGCTGAAGTCACAGGTGCAGCAGGACATCAGTTTGCAGTGCGTGGTGTTGATTGCGATCCTCGCTCTTAACCTCACTCTCATCGTCACTCTCAGCCTCATACCCTTACCTTTTGCCCTCACTCCCGCACTTTCTTTTTGCATCTTCTTCGACGACACCAGAAGCCTTCCAAGGTATCGCAGCGCCTGCAGCAACTCCGCCAGCAGACCCGACAGCGGCGGCAGTGGCCGAGGTCCGGGTGACAGGTTCGAAGTCCTGCCAGCCTTGCGATCGCCGGTCCCAGCGATCGCCAGTACAAAGCACCACTGTGACTACTGTTACACGAGGCTGAAGCCAACTTCGTTGCGCCCGACGTCTCGACGCAAAACTTAGAGTCTGGGAATGCTCAACCGACGCTGAACTGGACATGGGGTCGGCCAGAGTGAATCCGAATGGTATGGTTGTTTGCTCCAATGTCGTGAAGTTTTACAGGTTGTTTGTTTCTCCGGAGGAGGCCCTTGCAGCCGCATAGAAATCTGCAAGAGACTTCATTTGTAGACAGGGGCGTTGAGTCGTGTGCAGCCCAGGAACTTTCAGCAGCCGCAGCAAGGCGCGGTTTTCGCTTTAGGAACTGTGGAGGGGGTGAAGGTACACAAGCAAGCGGGAATTTCAGCTTCAAAATGCCGCACCAAACGGACGGTTCAGAAGGAGCTCATCCGGAAGAACACCAGGCAAAATGCTTTCATGTTGCTGAAAGGCAATATGATGGATCCGATGCAGCAGATGCAAAAGCTGCGAGAGGCTCGAAGCATGGGACGGCTGGGCGTGTGCGCAGGGAATTGAGACCCCCAGGTAGCACGCTTGGAGTTATCTCCGCCCTTGCTGTCTTTGTCTGGCCAGAGCTTGCAAGAAGCGCTCCGACCTGAATGAGTCGCAAAGTAATGACAAGAAGCAGCAGAAGAAGGAGAGTAGCCGTGCGCCGAGTAAGAAAGACTTCCGTGAGACACCGTTCAATTCTTGTCGATAGCTGGTTCAGCTCGCAACTTTGCACTTCTACGCAGTGAGACGGACAGGAACGGCATGAACGCCGACAGTACTAGCTCTAATATCCAAATCGCACATGGACACGCCACAAAACCTACAAGGCGTTAGGGGCACATTTGCAGGTGGGCAGCCTTGCAGAGGACGAGGCCGATTCAGGGCGGAACCTGAGCCGTCGCGTTTTTCCAGAAGTCAGTTTGGGTAGAGGAATGGGTCCAGGACAGTGAGGGGATTTCAACATGTGCAGCCGGGGACTTCCCGCAAAAATCGGATGCCGCAAGGCGCTCGAATTAATTTGTTGCACTCATATCTATGTGTTCAGTGTCCGAGCTTGTCTCGCGAAGACAATCAAGGCTCTGTAGACTCTAGTAGCTTCACTCAGAACATCTGGAAGGCAAGAAGTATGCTTCAGAGCAGGGTGCTTCGCTGTTCAGGAGTCGGTGTTGAGGCTGTTGACCTTGGGCACCTTGCCCAATCAGGAGGCCCAATCCGCCGGGTGCTTCACCGGTAGAGCAGGGGTACGATGCCAACAGTCGTGTGCACAGTGAGTGTCAGAGTGCTGCTTTTGTGCTGCCATGCAATTTATGTAGTTATAGAGGCTTACTGTAGCTATCCCACCAAAATGGCCCGGCCAGAACGCCTTCTCGCTCGATCCGACAGTCGGGACCCTAGGGCTTCAGAGAGGTTTGGGGATTTCGGGAGCACTTGACAAAGCCCGGCCACTGTGGCCCTCTCTCGCATGAAATTACTTCGACTGGCAGTGCTCGAGGAAGCTACTCTGAGGAACCGACACACTCTGCTCCCTCGACCCTTGGAAGTCTCGCTCTTCTGGAGGCTACGAAGAAGGAGCTGCCTCCGCTGAACCGAGCACGTGAGGCGCATCCGGGTTGAGGAGGCTCTCAGAAGCACGTGAGGCAGATTGAGATGTGTCGATCTAACCGGTTTGGCATTATTCTCCGGGCCCACAGTCGGCTGCGATGCAGGTGTCTTTGAGGCTGAAGCTTTGTCTTTCGCATGCTGCCAGACCTGCTTGGTCATGTATCCCATGTGTCGCGAATCCATGTTCGAAGCTTGCAGTAACATCTCTGCTCAGCCCCTTTCCTGCTGCTCCGGCGTGCTCCGAGGGTTTCTGTTCGACTGCATGAAATAGACATTGACTGTCGTTAACGGCCATGGGGACACCATGCGCGCGGGTTGCTGGAACCTTCGACGAGCTGCAACAAATAACTGATGACTTGCTCCTTTCACTAGCATTCACTAGCCATGCTCCTTCGCCAGGCACTGAGCAGTGAGGACGGGCCGCTGCGATCAAAACGTTTTCTGAGATGTTGTGTCGCTATCACCGCCATACAGCTGCAACCGTTGCTGCTGCCCCTTCCCATTCCACTGCTATTGCTGCCGCTCCTTGTTTTTCGTTGATGCACTCGGCTGATGTTCCTAGACAGAAGGACTTCGTCGCCAACGACGCGATAGTTTTCGAGCGCAGCTATATATTCCCTGGAGTCGTCGCGGCCCTGGAAAACGAGCATTGCGCAGTCGCAGTCAGCGCGCTGGACGACGTAGATCTTGGATGTGACAACCAGCACAGTGAAGGGTAGGGACCGCGACGCAGACCAATCTGTGCTGTCACTGACGTGGGGGGGCAGATTCCCGACGGCCGCGACCCTGCCGTGGCTCTGGAGTCATTGCAGACACTTGGCCTGCGCTTTGTTTGTTTCTTGTGGCCGACTATCTAGTCAAAAATGGCAGAGAGTGGCTTGAACTCATCAGTAAGGGTCACCAGACATGCACGTTTTCTCATGCCATCAGTCCGGGGCAGTCACCTCGCACTCCCCCCCTAAACAAGAAAAGGAAAAGCTTTCGCGAGATACTCTGCGGAACCCAACGCTGCTTCGCAACCTGAGAAGCCTATAGTGCGAGTGACATGGACAAAGCCCATGTTGCACAGATTCATGAGGAGTATGACGATGGCCAGTAAAAGTAGGAAGCGTGCAGGACATCTTGGAGTGCGTTCAGTGTAGTTCAGGTTTTGTCAACACCACTGTTGGCGAAGACTTATCCAACAAAGGGATGCCAATCTTCATCCAACCACAATGGAGTGAGCTCTGCCTATGTGACCTCATGTCTGAAGCGAGTTCTCGAAATCGCAACTCTGGAAGTCGGGCTTGGGAAGAACTCCGTCCGCAGCTAGCCACGTTGAGAAATGTCAAGATCCAAATTTGGATGGTGTAAGCTTGAAAGATGGATTTTCTTGCTGTCGCGTTCCGTGGGGGCGGCGGGGGTCGTGAGTCCCTGAGCAGTGACGCCCTTTCTTGTTGCGACATCGCGTGCATGGCCAGATCGCAGCACTGAGGACCCGTATGGCCGGCATCCAGGCGCCCGGAGCCCAGATCAGAATCCGTCTGATTCTGCAGGGCTCGGCTCGGAAGCCTCCAGGACGTGGCTCTGGATTTCATTCCTTCCTTGCAGGAAACCCTTCGTGTACTGGACCACGATTTGAGGTCTTGGTTCTCCTGCAAGTCTTCTTGGGTTGCAAGGGGCTGCTGCCCTCTCATCGTTCGCCCACCTACTTTCATAGCAAACCAGCGGTTCTCTGGTCCCCTAAGCCACCTGCCAATTGCGCATGCCGAGGCCTGGTGCAACAGAGACTGAGCTCTTCCTCCAGCCACAGAAGGAGATCGGGCGAGAATCTTAGGCTTCGGCGCTGGTGCCAGTGGCGCAGGCTGAGGTACCGTGCAGACACGTAGGCACGAAGTGTTCACGAATTGAGGCCGTATGTTTGAGTGGAACGGCGGCTCTTCACGGCCCCCTGTTGGTCCATGCGCAGGAGGAAGGAAAGAGCCTGCTGATCATGGTGCACAAAGGACACTTTGCCTGCAATCAAGAATCGCCTGCCAGTGAAAACGATGCAGAGCCTTCTTAACCGCTGACGAGATCTCTGACTGCTGAAATGATGTGTCGAGGGTCGCAGGCGGTTACTCGACGGGCCTAGTGCGAAGCACGACAGTGCAGAGCAAGAGTTGTTGCTCAGCTGATGCTTTCTGGCCACCCCGACGCAAGGCGATCTGCCTGATGGAGAGATCGAGTCGTCCGCGACCGAGCTTTTTTGGCAGTTTGTGTTGCCAAGCGGAGGTCCCGAAGCTTCCTTCCCACCCTCCGATGTGCCCTACCGGTAGCTGTACTTGAATCTGCGACCCAAAACCTACAGCCAAATCAAGTTACGCAGGTGGCAGTGGGTCGTCTGGGTCCTCAGCGTGGGTGCCACCTTCGTTTCCTCCCTCTCTACAACCTTGGCGGTCGCCTCGCCATGCTTATCAGTGCTGGAAGCCAGAGTTAATCCGGTGGCTTGGATGTTTGTCCCGTGAATCTCAGATATCCTGAAGTTAAGTCATCCAGGTGCGTATGTGCTTGCAGTACGCAGACCCCGCAGGTCGTTGCTGTGGGTCCTGGTCTGGCCGCGCCGCCGGCATACTTGTGGTCTTTTCTGGTAGGGCTTAGAACCCTTCCCGCTTTTTTCACCGATCCTGGCAGGCTGGATCAGACGTGGGAGACCTGACTGCGGCATTTGAGAAGGCCTATGCTTCGCTGTGCACTTCCGCTCCATCAACAACAAAGATGGTGTGTGCTTTCTCCACCTCTTCGCACCTTCACTTCCCTGACAAACCTAAACGGGCAAAAGGCAAGAAGCCTCGACAGTTACCAACACTTGCCGTCCTGCTCCAGTTGGTGCCTGTCGCCGGAGCCGTGCTGGCCACTGTTGCCGCCCAGGCCGCCTGGCATCATTCGCCTTCTCCTTTTCAATCGGGTTGCCGAGTTTTGAAGCTTTCATCCGCTCAATGCAAGGAGACCGCGCGTCGCACGGTGGCATCCAACTACAAGTGCGCCGCAGGGAAGTCTATGCAGGGATGGCGGCGAAGACGTGCCCACATTTTTCCGACGTGCCGAAGGGCGCCAGGATGTGATGGGTTTGTGGCTTAGGGCTTAGGGTTGGATGATCACTGATGCACCCTTCCAGGCGGGCCCCTGTTGGAGCCGTTTGAAATAACCACTCACTCCACTGCAGGGTCGAGCTTACTCCGCCATACCTGCTGCCAACGTTGCTGAGTGGGCCCCGAGCTCAGCGAGCCTCAGGTGGCCTCAGGCAGGGTCAAAGCGTGACGGCAGCGCTCTTTTCATGTTGGCGGGTGGTTCCCTGGTAGGAAACCCGAACTCTTTAGACTCTAGCTGAAGGAGCGTCAGAGGACACCCTCCCTGAGCTGCCGATCTTCAGTGGTTTCCGCCAGTTTGGATGGCACAGCAACCTTGACGATTGCATCAGCCGCTAGAACAATCGCCGCTATCACTTCCGCCATCACCACAACCTGGTCATCGTCCAGGTCATCAGCAGGGAAAGGTAGCCACACGGCCGCTTTCAATAGCTCTCGTAGAATCCGTAGAATCTCGATTCCGACGAAGGCTCAATCTCGAAGGACCTCAGCCGCTACACCCGTTCTTGTCAAGCGAACTGAGATCCATTGGCTGCCTCGGCACCTTGACACGGCGGCTGTCCACCGCGCCGAATCGGGAGGCAGTTGGCAGATTCGGCACAGGGCACATTCAGAACGCTGGAAGCAATTTGTTGCATCAGGCCGAGGTGAACATGTCCTTGGCTGCACCCATTGCGGGGCTGATTGCCCGAGGGCTCAGAAGATCTTGGAAGTGTGCCCGGGGTGAGAAAACATCACGTCGTGACGAGAAAGCTTGCAGACTTTCTTCGAGGCTGTGCTTGGCCGCAACGAAAGCTGCCCGATCTAGAGAGGTGAGTGAGGTGTTGGATTGGAAGACTAGGCCAGCGAGCCGTCTCGCTTCACGACACAAAAGCAGACGGAGCATTGGAACAACAGTATCATCAACAATTGCAGCAGAGGGAAGCGTCCACATGTGGATTTACAAGTATGCTTTTGCCTGCAGGTCTCCCTGGGCTTTATGGCCGCAGGTCTGGCGATGGGGCCCGGCACGGACCGGCATATCACAACCACAGATTTATTTAGTCTACTGTGTCATGCCTGTCAACACAGTACTTGTCGCTGTGGTGTCTTTGTGGCGGAGTAGATCTTGATGCAGAGTGGGTCGTGATTTTTGAGGCAAGGTTGCAGGGATCCGAAGTGTTGGGCGATGAGCTAAAGCTCGTGTGACAGAAGTTCCAACATGCCCTTGCCGCCAGCATTGTGCTTAGAACCGCTGCCAAGACGCCGTCATCATGCAAAGCTCCACCTTTCAGCCGCGTGTGTGTGTTGACGAAGTGACACTTTGGGAGCACAAAGCCATGGACATCGAAGACCTGGCGAAGCTGGCCGGCCAGCCACCGGGCTTGTGTTCAGCACTTCGGGTCGGCTAAGCCTTTCCCCTCAACCTCAAGTTTTAGCCAAGTGCTGTCCTGAGACTTCATGAGCCGCAAGGTTCGATGGCTCTACCCTGGTCGCTCCCAGGACCCTTCAGGACCTCTGTGATGGGCCAGGCGCTAGGCCGCTAGGCCAGTAGGCACAGGACTTCTGTTGAGTCTCTAGGGTGCTAATTCCGCCAAGTCTACGCAGCGCAGTCTTCGAAGCTTCTGCTCTAGTTTTTAACCTCGCGACCATTTTGTCAGACAGATGTGCAGCTGGCGGGAGCTTCAAGTCCGCGCTTTAACCAGGAAGTGGTGTCCACCGGCAACTGCATGGGGCCTGGAGCCCAAGAGTATCCAGTCTTCGCATGAGCAGACTGTGGCCCTGAGCCTTGGTTGAGGTGCGGCATTTGCGAGAGCATCGTAGGGTCGGACTTCATCAAGATGGAGGTGGGTTGGGAAGATGGTGGGTTGGGAAGTCAGGATGACGATTGGCCATAGATGAGCTGACGGCGTGAGATGTTCTTAGACTATTAGAGACCTTTGCAACGGGGCCGAGTCTTGAGGTCGTCTCCCAGACCCGCAGCGAGATCCCGTGGTACTGTACATCGTAGATTCGGAAGACCTGGAGGAAATTAGGAGCAAGCACTGACCCGACAAGCGAGCCTTGAGCGTCTCACGACTGCGCAGGTTCGAAAAGGATATCGAGGCAAAGGCTCTCATGCCTGGGTCTGTCCTCCACTCCCCTGGAGTTTTGGGCAGTAGCAAGACCGAATCACAACACCTGAGCCAGCCAAACCCGAAAACAAATCGAGAGCAGTAGTTCGGTTGGGTGAGCGACAAACACACGGATTTGTAGACTCGTAGTCGACAAGCCTCTTTGCTGAGCTTCGCAGCAGGTCATCCCACCAAGACGCCGCATGAGGCCTGTGTTCCTGAAGGCCTGCAGCTCACGAATGCAGCATGCTGCACTCGTGGCAGCAAGGCATACCGGAGTGGTACGAGCCACGGTGCGCATAAGAAGCTGCACACCCGAAATGACGGCTGAAACCTTCCAATGACTTGCTCTAACTCGATCCCGTCTGGAGGAAGCACCTCCGGATCGTGTCGCCAAAGCTGTTGCGGCTTGTCCGGGTGCGCAGGCTCTTCAACTGTAGCCAACTCGTTCATGTCGCCAGCACCTAGGTCATAAGATGGCCGGATTCACGCTGAAGGGACAAGACAGGTTTAAGCCTTTGCAGCATGATGTAGTCGTCCCTTCTTGCACAGTTGCTACGCTGCAACACCACAGCAGAGTCCCTGTAGCCCGCTGCAAGTTTCGCACTTGGCAGACAGGTCGGTGGTTTGCCGGGCGCCCTGGCATCACAAGTCAAAAGGTTCTCCAAAGAGGGGCCAGGGAATTCTTTAGTTCAGTTCAGGCTTCACATCGCCCTGTTGAAGCTTCGGAGTCGAATATAACAAGCTACCGATGCTGCTCGTACGATGCTTCAAGGGAGCCGGGGGCCAATATGGTGCCGAGAGGGTGACTCAGTACGAAGTCTTTTTTTCTCTTTGTTGTGGAGGTTGGCGGCCTTCGAGCGGGCTAGAGGCCTTTGTTGGCCAGGCACTCCTGCTTGCTGCGCTGATGGCAACCGTGCTGCGCGCGGTTCGCCCCCTGTCTGAAAGGCGAAATCCATCCAGAAGGGTTTTGCCAGCGATCCCGAGATCCGCGCCTTGGAGTCGACATTTGTCCAAGCCTTCTCCCAAAAAGCGTCCAGCAAGACCGGGAGGCGGAGGGACGCCACCTTTTGATTTGGCTATTTCTTGCCTGCAGAGGCTTTAAAGCGGCCGCTGCGGGTGGGCTCACCTCTCTCTCCATTCACATGATCGAGTCGGGTCAGGCAGGGTGCAACATGCACAACCGTATCGCACAGCCATAAAAATGAAGATGTGTCCAGTCAGGTGAAGTTTGTGCTCCACGTCAAGGCTGCCTTGTCCAGGGGATAGTTCGCACATCGCTCAGTCCCGAAGAGCCTGCGGCTGAAGAGGCGTGCGCTATGTACGATGACATCGCCACGCAAGGGTCCAAACTGAGCTTTTCTCGCGCAGAGGCTGGGGACTAGAACTTGAGCCTCCCAGTGCCCAGGGCCTCCATCAGTTGCAGACGTCAGAGGTGAGTCAGTGAGTGTCAGAGAAGACGCCGGTCCGACACCCCCAAAAAAAGCTTGCGTCATGCTCCCGACTGGAGGTCTTCGAAGGCCGGGGCTCCCGCTATGGTCCTGTGGCGCCTCTCAAGTCCCTGGAGGCGACATCTCGGAACCCTTGCGGGATGGCACTTGCATGCTTCCTTCGGCGGGGTCTGCAGCTGCATGGGGTCAGCTGCTGTTCTTGCCCGGAATTCAAAGCAAGCTCTCGAGTTCGCAGCAGCAGACAGGTGTTTCGAAGAGACATAGGCGTCTCACAAAGTCTCGAGACGCGCCCGTATGCAAACGTGTCATTTTTCGCCGAGAGGCCACCTTCTGGGCTTTTGCATTTACTGTAGCTGAGGTGCATAGGTGAGGTCCTAGTTTCTGTGTATGCAGAACAGCGGCGGCTTACTTTGCCGGCAATGTGATCTGCACACCGTAGTGACGCGGTTTATCACCTTGTTGGAGGGTTTCTTATAGAGCTGAAGTGCCGGAAGGATGCCCTTGCACGTGCTGAGCCCTTTGCTTTGGTGGCAAAGCCTTGCGACATCAACGCCGTGCGTCGCTACATCTGCGTTATGGGGAACTAGTAGTGTAAATTGCTGCTACCGTCAAGCTCGAGGCTTTTCCGACCATGAACACCGCACAACCCAAGGCAACTATGCACTCGTGGACATGCGAGTGGATGAATTCTGCAAATGCATGATGACAATCTCTTGTGGTACCTACGCAGACAACGTGGCTTGCAGTGCAGAAGTTCTGACAGGTTGGAACAACTACCAGCATCTGCTGCCTTGGCGAATGCAGTCGTTCCCTGTTTTGGGATACTCGTTTTGCCGAGGAATGCGTGGACCGCTTCCTCGGCAACCGACATATCGCCAACGAAGATGTGGAGGTGCGCGTTCTGTTGTGCCGGTTGACTGACAGACTAGCCTGTCGGAAGGGGCTGAGTTGCAAGCCCTGAGCTTGTCAACGCACACCCACGCATTGCTGTAGCCCTGTCAGGGCAACAAGCTTTATATCCTGCACATAAACAGCAGTAGCCATGCAGCCGCGAACATCTGTTACGGACAACGAAAGCTGTGTGGTCGATACCGTGGAGTTCTTTAAGTCGATGAGTTGCGGCTTGAAGCTTCTTGATGAATTTGTTGCCATGTTGGCAAAGCTTCCATCACTTTGAACTCCTTCCCCAGCCACCTTCTCATGCCTTCAGATTGCATCCCCATCCGCTCCGTCCTCCGAAAAGAAAGGAAATCGCGAAAAGGTCTTTATGACCCTGAATCTCATGGAGACTTCGAAGCTGTCCCAGCTCATAGAATTGGCAATTGCCTCGAACGCAGAAGGAAAACATTTACGGATCTATTGACTTCCGACGAGCGAATGATGTCGCAGCGAGATTCGCGCTCGATCTCTTTGGGACTTCTCCGAGGAGTGGCGATGGCGGGGTCATGGCTGCCCGGGTCCGTGTCCGTATGTGAAGACCAAGGACGGACGCCACTCGCCTTGCAAGGAATACGTGCTGCATATGTTCGGAACACGGCGTCCGATGATGCCTGTATCGACGTTTGCTGTTGTTGAGCGTGGAGTTGGAAACGTGCATTCCTGGATACCTCTGGTTCAAGGGTCTTGAACCAAGGCCCCGGAAGATCCCGGCATTGTGCCACACTTGTCCGAAGCTGTTCATAGACCAAAGCACCCGGCCCCAGGCCCTAAGTGGTTGCAACGTTTGCAGTTGCAGAGAACCTCTCGCAGCCATGTGGCTGGTTGGTCTGGGCTTGGTTTTGGCTGGGCTTGTGCTGGGCACATGCGGAATGCATTTGATCCGCACATCGGAGCTCAAGAACCAGTCAGGTCAAGTCGCAGAAGGCCAGCTCGCTATGGGAAGAATCAGGGCTGGGGGCACGAGCTGTGAGGGCAGGGGTTCGGACTTAGTTCATGTCGAATGTGTGTCCACCGTGTGGTAGCTGGCCATATGTCAGCCTTACACAACTTCCGGCTGGCATCAGGCAGAATTTGCTTCGCAGCGGGAATGATTCTCAACATCGCGCTTGGACCTATATTGGATGTATCGGGCTATGCCTTTGCGCCAGCCTCGGTCATTGCACCGTTCACCGGCTTCAACATCATCGTCAATTCCTTGCCGCTTGGCCATTCATCGTAGCTGCACTTGCTTTCCTGCCAGTTCGCCGAAACTTGTGAGGATTGCTCCGTGCACACTCGGCGAACAGCTGACCCGCTGTCGGTGCATTGGCATCCTCGTTGTGTTCGTGACCGCAACCTTGTCGGTCTTCTTCAAAGAGGCGCACACCGAGGACTGGACACAGGAACGTGCTCAGGATGTCCTGCTGCGGTGGCGCGTTCTTGCGTACACAGCAATCTTTGTTTCATGGTTAGTCGTGAATGTGCGAGTGCTTGCACATTGTCCACACGGCTCCGTCATCCGGGGCTTCTCCCTCGGAGCGATTTCTGGATCGCTCGCAGGCAACATGTGGTGCACCCGCACCTTGGAGCCAAGTTAAAGCAGGTCTCGTAGCATCCCTATCAGTAGGTGTGATAGCAGGCCC